GATGAAGTCCCAATAGTTCATTTTTGCCCTTGCTTCCCTTGCCTTTGGCGATGTTTCTAGGAAGAAGTTGCTGCGGCTGAGGTCGAAGAAGTTGCTACCTGTGTTCTCCTTTAGTTATTTTTTAATGTTCTCAAGTGGAAGTAGTTTTTTGAATTTGTTGGAGCCCATTCTAAAGGCCATTTCACCTGACCAATCAGTTTTAACATAATGAAGATGAGTGTCTTTTCTTTAGCACCCTTGTCTGAACTGTAGAAGTGGTTGTGTAGAAGATAAGCCTGTTTTCATAGTTTTTGGAGTTCTATCAGAGGGAATAAAATCAGGTACTTTCAACATATCTTTTGTTTTATAAGACTATAATTATACCTTATGTTTGAAAAAATTTGCAAGGTGCCTGATAGCTTGTAACAGCAACACTTTCTGAGCCATTATTTAGGCTTCACAGAGATTCCAAGGACATGGCATTATGGAGTAGATTGTTGGTAATCACTTTTTGATCAGATAACAAATAATATCATGATTGTTCAGTTTCTCTAAGGAAGATTTTTAGGCATTTAAGAAATCATTGTTTTTTGAGTAGCCTGCCTAGAACCAATTGTTACTAAACTGAAATAAATGTAGGTTTCCTTGTATTTCCCTGTCTTTTCTTAAAAACCAGATCTCCTTTCTGCAGAAAAGTAGCTTGGCAGAGAAGAAAGAACATGGGACCTGAAGTCAGTATATCTGTATTTTAGTCCTAGCTTTGTCCTTAAATATGTGTTTGATCTTGGAACGTTCTCTCACCCTATCTGACTTTAGCTTCCTCATATGATGTTTTCTTCCAGCTTAAAAATCCTACTCAGTTTCTTTCTCCCTCTAGGACAGTCTTGGGGGTAACAGCAAGACAGCCATGGTGGCCACCGTCAGTCCAGCAGCCGATAACTATGATGAAACCCTTTCAACTCTGCGGTATGCAGATCGCGCCAAGAACATCGTGAACCATGCTGTGGTGAATGAGGATCCTAATGCACGAATTATCCGGGATCTCCGGGAGGAAGTAGAAAAGCTCCGAGAGCAGCTAACCAAAGCGGAGGTATAAGGCACAGCCAAGCCACACTTTATGGGTCTAGGAAAAGCTAGAATTTGAATTGTCTTCCCCTTAGCTGTAAGTGATAAGTACTCCACCTAGAATTTTTGCATTTCCTATAGGAAGAGGAATTTGAGATGAGTGATAAATAAAGATAGAGGGTCATAGTTGCAATTTAGAGAGTTTTTACAGATGTGAAAGGATTGAACAGGAGGCGAGAATAAAGGGAATTGCGAAAATGTTTCTTTCCACAGTATAGGTATAACTAAGAATAAAGGAGAGAGGGAGAGAGATGCTTGAAACAAAACATATGCAATTTTAGTGCAGAAAATGTGGAGAGTGGACGTAGACTGATGGGGAGAGGATTCAAGCAGATTTTGTTGTATCATTTGTTCATTGGTTGAAGGCAGAATGGAAATCTTTTTTTTTTTAAGATTTTTTTTTAATTTATTTATTTTGACAGAGAGAGAGCGAGAGAGGGAACATGAGCAGGGGGAGTGGGAGAGGGAGAAGCAGGCCTCCCGCTGAGCAGGGAGCCCGATGCGGGGCTCGATCCTAGGAGCCTGGGATCATGACCTGAGCCAAAGGCAGACACTTAATGACTGAGCCACCCAGGCGCCCCGCAGAATGGAAATCTTAAGGAGTTCTTCCACATCTTAATAATCTAGTTTTTCCATGTTGTGGCTTAATTATGTTTGTAGAAAAAAATATTTTATAGCATCTATTTGCTGCGCATTTGGTTAAGTGTCTGACTCTTGGTTTCAGCTGAGGGTTGTGGGGTCGAGCTCCATGTTGGGCTCTGCATTCAATGGGGAGTCTGCTTAACGTTCTCTCTCCCTCTGCCCCTCCCTCTCATGCTCTCTCTCTCTCAAATAAATAAATCTTTAAAAAAAAAAAAACCAGCTATTTCGAGGTGCTCTGTTTCCACTACCCTTTGTACATTCTGTAATGTATGGTGTTTATGTTCCATTACTGAATTTGAAACCTATATAGTTCTAACCTACAACCAAATGCTCATCCTCTTTTCAAAGGTGAAATAAAATAGCAGATTCAGGATTTCTAGTTTAATTAGCGTTCTGTTCCCATGATTTCCCAGCACTGTGGGACTCTTTCCTGGGGTCGGGACCATAGCCCTTTTCTTTCTTATAATCTGTTTTCTGGTAGTAAGTTGGTAAAATATATGGTCAAAACAATTATCTTGGTTATATTTTTGCCCGTTGAAATTTATCCTTTTTTTACAGGGGTAATTTTACAGTTCATCAAGATTCTTGAAATTTTGTTTCCATCTTCTTGGTATTAATAACACCATTCACTTTACAACATGTACAGATATTATCAGTATATACTTGAATCAATACCTGAAGTCATCAGGAGAGACTAGAATGAATCCTGTGTATTAGTCTAGATATATGACCTATTGGGATTTAAAAATAAGCCCTTGAGAGCTTGAACTTTCTGTCTCTCTAAATGTAATTAGATCTTGGGGCCCTTGGGTGGCTCAGTCATTAAGCATCTGCCTTTGGCTCAGGTCATGATCCCAGGATCCTGGAATCGAGCCCTGTATCAGGCTCCCTGCTTGGCAGAGGGCCTGCTTCTCCCTCTCCCACTCCTCCTGCTTGTGTTCCCTCTCTCTGTCTCTTCTCTCTGTCAAATAAATAAATAAATAAATAAATCTTTAAAAAAATGTAATTAGATCTTCACAGTGACAGTAGGTTGGAAGAAAACAGTTAAGTCTTTCTTTCAAGCCCACCTTGGGTAACTGAATGAGCTTTGTGGGATGCATACAGTCTGGATGCTGTGTGTCAGTGGCATCCATCGTTCTGGTTTAGGTAGATCAGAGACCTCAGTGAATTGTAGAGCTGAGAGGAGGCGGATTGTTACTTTTATCCTTCTGGATTTAGTTAGTGCTTTCTTCAGGGCATGGTACAGACATTTCATTAAATAAACATTTTCTTATAGGCAATGAAATCTCCAGAACTGAAAGATCGGCTAGAAGAATCAGAGAAGCTAATCCAGGAAATGACCGTGACCTGGGAGGAGAAACTAAGGAAAACCGAGGAGATTGCACAGGTTCGTGCTTCCTGATTAAAGCAAGAGAAAGCTCGTGGCAGTTTGTGCAATGCAACTCATGACGTTTCTGGTTCCTTTTTTGATTTTTAGCTTTGAAGATGGCAAATCTAGCACCAGTAATAAGAACCTAGATCCAAGAGTCTCTATTTTACAAAGTTAATTTGAAGGATAAGACATAATTACAATTAATAGTTCATTATGTAGGAAATGTTTTTAGGGTCATAAGCATTTTTTTAAATGAAGTAACTACTTTGTAGCCTCTGACTATGAACCCCCAATTCTATTAAGTGCTTTGCTTACCCAAACTACGAACTTACCCAAACTACGAAATTATTACTGGTCGATGCTCAGCTATAATAGTATTAGAATATACTCAGGAAAAGTAATATGAAATACCTAAATCTGAGCTGACTATCTCTTATGTTTAGAATACTTAATACAGATAGAGTTGTGAAATTTTAGGGAGGGAACATTAGCACTTAGAAAGAATCCTTAATGTCCAGTTGTCTACTTAATAAAAGACTTACTCCGTAGCATTCCTTTTAGGTGGGTATTCAGCCTTCGTTTTAGAAATATATGTGGTAATGTGGAGGCCAATACCGTGTCGAACAGTCTTTTCATGATTGGACAGCTGTGATAACTCTAATAGTAGCTATTTAATCGAAATCTTTTATTCTTTCATTTCTGCTCATGGTCCTTAGTTTGTTCTTCCAAAGCTAAGAGAATGGGTGTCCCACATATATACAGTAACTGAGAGTAATAATAATAGCAAATATTTATTGCATACATCCTGTTGGGCCCTATGCTAAGTGCTTTTAAATACGGTATTTTATTTAATCCCCCCAAGAGCCCTATAATACAGGGACAGTCATTACCCAGATATTTAAGGTAACCTCTGCCTTCTTCCTCTCCTTTTCTAAAGTTGAAAATCTCTGGTGTTTTCAACTGTTCCTCATATTAGTAAATATATAGAACTTGCTACTTTTGTCACCCAGCAGGTTCCATCTTTAAATGAGCTGTCCCAGAATCAATTTATACATCAGATGTTGTAGGATGGTACAACTATTATGTAGCATAAAGTGGATATGATATTAGTGCAGACTTATTTTTAAATATTTTTTATTATAATCATTTTCAAAATAGATAAAAACAAGAGAGAAGAGTATAATGAATCCACATGTGGCATCACCCAGTTTCATTGAAGATCAACATATGACCAGTCTTGTTTTATCTGTATCCCTACACGGGGTTATTTTAATGCAACTCCTTCAGATTACAGGGAAGAGAATATTCCAGTGTATGAACTTAATTTCTCATTACATATTTCACTTTTTGTTTTTCATAAATTATAAGTTATTCTAATAATTATCCAGTTTAGAACTAATTTGTGTGAGCCTTTTTGAGCTACTCCAAAAGTAAACATTGACTTTGAAGTGCTATTGTGTTTGAGTTGCTTAGCTGATACAAGGCAGGATAGGTCTAAGTGAAATTACAGTGCTAATGCTGGTGAATCTGTTAGCATCTTTCCTTACCTAACTGTTCTCTTCCTCTGTCACGTATCCCTTTTGAGGACTGTGCCTGATTTTATCCAGCATCTCATTTAACACCTTATCTTTGCAAGTCCCCAGGCTTTCGTGCTGCTGAGCTTGCTTCTCCTCTCAGGGAAAAAGACGTAGTCTGTTGGTCATTGACCTTTTTTCAAAAGAGACTAGCATTTCCCAAAATGTATTTCTGGCTGGCAATATAGCCACCAATTGTTAATAAGTCTTCTGGGAAGAAAAATGGTCCACGGTCAGATAACTTTGGGATGGTATCCCTAAAAATAGCAAAATCCTTAAGCTGTAATTTAATTGTACTGCAAACTTACGTTGTGGCCCTAGTTGAATGACTTAGCTTGTCTTGTCTTTCTTTACAATCAAAGGCTTTTGGTGGCTGTGACTCATTACCACTTGCTATTTATATATAGTCAAAGACACCCTGCTCTGCCCCAATTCATATACCTTAATCCTAGAGCATTGGTTACAGGAGTCACCTGTATTCCCCTATATGCATACTTTTTGTATATCGTGTGGATTCAGAGGCAGGTAGGCACAAAAAAGAAAGGCTCATATTCTTATGAAAATAGTACTTGAATGCATATGCAAGTTTTATTTTGACACATTCACAAGACCATGTTTTGAGTGCTTGCTGTGTGTTGTGCACTGTGCTAGGTGCTAGGAATTCACAGTGGGTATATAGGATCCATGCCCTCATAGAGAAACGGTCACGTAAACAAGTATGAGTTACCAAGTATGAGAACAAGTACGCTTCAGATAGAAGAAACAGGTGTAAAATCTCTTAAGCTCAGGAGCGCATTCTTGACACTTTCAGGGACCTGGAAGAGTTCCATATAACTATAGCATAGGCTTTGAGAGTAGGAATGTAGAAAAACATGAAGACGGAGAGGAAACAGGCCAGATCAAAGGACCTGTGGACTTCGTTGAGGGAGTCTGGCCTTTATCCTGGCTGGGGAGTCACTGAGGCTATCAAGCAAGGGAGTGCATTGAAAATTTGACCTTTTGTAAAGATCACAGTTGGTAAAACAGCTTTGCTCATATGCACAGAATTAAATGAGAAAGACAAATTCAAGATGTCAGGTATTTTCAAGAATGATAATTGAGAACTCAGTAGAATACTTGGTTGCTATTGGTAATGCCTTTATTTCTCAAAATAAAAAAATTTTTTTTTAAAGATTTTATTTATTTGACAGAGAGAGAGAGGCAGTGAGAGTGAGAGCACAAGCAAGGGGAGTGCAGGGAGAAGGAGAGGGAAAAGCAGATTCCCTGCTGAGCAAGGAGCCAGATGCGGCACTCGATCCCAGAACCCTGGGATCATGACCTGAGCCGAAGGCAGACGCCTAAGGACTGAGCCGCCCAGGCACCCTCAAAATAAAGTTTTAATTAACAAGAGAAAATAACATTATATAGTTTGGAAAGAGAAAAAAACGCAATAATCTATAATACCATGTCCTAAGATAACATATTTGAACTGTAAAGTTATTTAATAATTATTCCAGTGTACGACCTTTTGTATCTTGCTGTGTCAATAGTTATGGAATTAATAGTTCTCTGATATATTTACAGGAGCGACAGAAACAGCTTGAGAGTCTTGGAATATCTCTTCAGTCTTCTGGGATTAAAGTTGGGGATGATAAATGCTTCCTTGTTAATCTGAATGCTGATCCTGCTCTGAATGAACTTCTGGTTTACTATTTAAAGGTGAGGTAACAGGCTTTGCTGCTATTTCCTGCCACAATAAGAACAGTATTTCATGGTATTTTTTTTTAAACTTAGAGAGCTATGCTTATTCCAAAATAATGAGAATTAGCAAATTGTTTTTATTTGAATAAGCTGAAGTGTAGAAAATCTTGAGTTTCCGGGATTAGTTTCCCTTTTTATTTATTCTTAAGATTTATTTATTTATTATTTGAGAGAGAGAGAGAGAGAGAGAGATAGAGAGAGTGGGGGTGGGGAAGGGGCAGAGAGAGAGAGGGAGAGAGAGAATCTCCAGCAGACTCCCCGCTGAGCACAGAGCCTGACATGGGGCTTGATCCCACGACCCTGAGATCATGACCTGAGTCGAAACCAAGAGTCGGACACTCAACCGACTGAGCCACCCAGGCACCCCTGGGATTAGTTTCCCTTTTTAGTCTTCGAGTAATGTAATTCAACCTAGGAATATAAAACATAATATTCTGATGTTATTTCCAAGAAACTAAGTAACTTTAGCTACTATTATTGACTGTGATTTATACCAGGGAGTTAAGTAGATAACTTTAAAGCTTAAAGGAAGACTTTTAAAACTAAATGATTTATTAGTAGACTAAAACTTTAGTGGTTTATTTGAAGCACACCTTTTTGTGAGTGGTTAGATTACAAGAGGAAATGTTTAAAGAAAGTTATGATGTGAGGCTACTTACTATGAGTTTTGTGTTTCCAGTAATTTAGGAAAATTTAAAAATTTGGATTATCAACTTATAAAAAAAGAATAGATCACTTAGAGACTGAGAGGGTCGGAGTCCGGAATAGAAAAAAACCCAAATAGTGATGTGTGTTGAAATCTGTAAATTGTGGGACATATCAGGGAGACAAGAGACAACTTTAGAATGAGCGGGAATCCTGAGCCACTACATAAATTATGAGGAGCTCATAATCGCTTTGTCATGCCCAGAGCATAAGTGAATTAGGTAATGGACTATAGTATTCTGACATGTGGTCAGTAAATACTAGGAGGAAATTTTCCCTCCCTACAATATAGGCACTATATATGTAGATTTAACTAAGGTGACTAGGAAGTTAAAGATAATGAGCTGGTAAAGTTGGAAACTGCTTTAAAATTAAAGCCATGTGGCATCATTTCTAAAGAGACTAAAGAATTCACGACGCATTGGCTAGTTTCCCAGTTTTTATCAGAGATATCCTGGCATAATTGGTTTGTGTTATTTTGATAAAGCCCCTTTATTAATGAGTATCTGATACCATGTTTTATTACGCTATGAAGTAAATTGTGTTTTTGATACATGCAGCCTGTGTGCGCTCCCAGATATTGTACTCAAGTGGGAGCAACATGAGAGTAGCAGGGAGATGACCCGCATTTTTGTCTGGATGTGTGATCTCAAGTCCATTTCCCCCTCCAGTCTACAGATTCCTCCTGTATAAATGGATGCTTTGTCTGGCTACCTCACAGGGTTCCTGTGAGGATTACATGAGATTTACAAGCACTTTGTAAACAGAAGCACTATATAAATATAAAATATTCCATATGTCTTATTTGATGCTCTGTGTGGTACCTTATGTATATTATCCTTGTCTATTAGAAAAAAAAAGTGTACGTGATTACGTCCCGTACTGTGTTTCCTAATGATGGTGGCAGCATTTTGTGTTAGGGTTTCAGCTGCAGATACTCATATGCTTTAGGAGAGGTGTAGTATAGAATAGGACTCAAATATTCTGCCCTTTTTATTTCTCAGAACTCTGAATTCTTTTTCTTTCTGATGTGATGAAGTTCAGATTGGAACGCACAAACACATACACCCAACAAGAAAAAAACCTGATTCATATCTGTTCCTTAACTAAAAAATTAAACAAAGAAACTATTTAAAGACTTTTGGAGGTTAATCAAAATATTTCTGGTCATCTTGTGTGGGGGTGTCGGGATTCTGTTTCAGACTGTGTGGTCAACCCTGTTTTGGCAGAGTTTGAGGTAGTGTTGATTTCTTCACTGCCCAAGCTAACCCCATGACAAAAGTATATTCATGACCAAGCACATTCAGAAGGATGATCTCAGTCCAAGAACAGTTTTTTGCTTCAGTAAAGTGATACCATGATGTGGGAAGGAGGAATTTGGAGGCTGAGCATTTTACTTATTTATTTATTTTTTTACTTCTTGTCTTCGAATTCTGAAGTCAATTTAGATGCTTGGCAGATGACTTCAAATCTCTGGGTGATTTTCAGCACCCCATCTATAAATGAGGGCACTGGATTAAATGATCTCTAATATTTTTTCTAGTTCCAAGTGGTATGAGTCTCTTCCAGAACAGAATCCTCCATTTATTTGTTTAGTCTGGAACTGGCAGAGGCAGGGTATGGTGGCCAAACCGTAGATGGAACATAACTCCCAAGATGATTTTGTATCTAATTTGCATGCATGGGCAATCCTTATGTTGCATGGTTCCAACATGCACAAATTCCAGTTACCACAATTTAGTAAATAATGTTGATGCATGCCACTGCTGTTCGTGAGATTCTACATATGCAGCCAGAGAAATTTAGTGAGGGTGAACTTCTCGATGTAAGTCATGAAAGTGTGATGAGAAGGATAAAGATGTCCCAAAGGGAGTGACACCAGAGAACACTTCCCATTGAAGGAGCTCTTGGAAATATTTTGCAGCGTCTGGAGCACAGAGGTTAAAATGGTAGTTCCTTAGAAAGGAGTATCACAGTTTGCCAAGGCACAGAAAATATGCTCACTCCATATTGTAAGTTATATATATATTGAGAAGAAAGCAAGTAGTGTTCAAACTACTCTTGTTAAGTTTTTCGCAAAGAAAATGTTTTAAATTTCAGTGTGCCCAATATTCTAAATTATGGTATACTAAATAGTTTTACTGTTTTTTCATTTCCTTATACATTGTGACAGTAAGAGAATTCTTAATGTTTTTACGGACATTTTAAAAAGTCACAGAATAATTGTGGTTTTCCCTATTGATTATTAAGATCTCCTTGCAAAGTTATTTTTACAGTTCTGTGTTCTCGTGCAAAGCAAGGACTGCCTGTGATTCTGAGATAGTCTTCCAGTGCTGGCCAAGCTTCTAGAGGGAAGAACTGCTTCCCCCACCTTAAAAACATGATGCTAGTAATACACTTTGTTTCCTGAAGAGTTTTATAAACACTTACTAGAAAAAGGGGAAGGGGATTCGTGCCCAAATTCCAACATGCAGAGAGGACCACAGTTAATATTTAATAGTTTTATCCATATCCTCTGGATCTATTCCTATATGTATGTCTATAGATTTAGAGTGATACATATTTTTATATTACAGAAATGGGATCATAATATGATTGATCTAAACACGCCTTTCAATTATCCACCAAATCTTTTCAGGAGGGCTATTTTGTTCATGCAGTTCTGGATCTACTCTTTTCACAAGTCACTTATTAATGGCCTGGGAAACAAGGCTGATTATGAAGGATCTGGGGCAAATTCTATATATGCACTGTAAGGATTCATACCTTAATAAATGATTAAAGCAGCAGCAGCTTTAAAACACATGTCGATCATATAGATGACAATGCCAGTCGTCGTCTTGGCCAGTATTCGGTTGCTGACTGAGGGGATCAGAATGGCAGAGGCACCAGCCAGTCAGTGTTTGTGGAGCTGCGGGTTCAGTTTCAAGGACCCTAAGATGAATAAGACACAGTTAGGGCACATTAGGAGTTCTTGGGTCGGGAGCAGTGGGACTCCTGTGGTGTAGGACTTGAATTCATAAAAGATGGGCAGATACCTTCCTGCCTTTTTCACCTCCATTCCAGAACAGCTGTCTTCAGAGTCTTGGTTCTGTTAAACCAGCGTGACTTCTTTATGAAAGAACTTTGATTATTTAAATATGTGAGGAGTAACTACTTTTCTGCTTAATGCCCCTGGTACTCACTTACCTTTTCCTTCAGAAATTATCTGAGAACGCTGATAAGGCTGAGGAACCTCACAGGCTTTACTAATATGCTACTTTACCTTCTTGCAGGCTCGGAAAAGCTTGCCCTGTGAAATATGTCACTAGTGGACAAGTCCTGTCTCTTTTCATCTTCCTTTCTCTCCTCCCTCCTTTCACCTCACCCTGTTCCTCTCTGTCTCTGTCTTTCTCTCTTTCTTTTAGGACTTAGTTGATGAAAGGGAGATTCTTAAAAGAGCCACTTAAGTAGTTGATTTATAAAGGAAGCAAGGTACAATAAATTCATAGAATAGTTAACTAATCATCTCCAGTGAAATTAAATTTAAATGGATGAAGAAAAGTTAAAAAGCCATTTCTAGCCTTTGATTATTTCTGAGATCTTTAAATCTAGTGTTTTATATTTGTTAAAGTTTTCCCGAAAACTAGCGTACTTTAAGAATCATTATATCCACGGGTGCCTGGGTGGTGCAGTTGGTTGGCGTCCAACTCTTGGTTTCAGCTCAGGTCGTGATCTTGGGGGTCGTGGGATCAAGCCCCTGTGTTGGGCTCCATACTTGGCACAGAGTCTGCTCGAGACTCTCTGTCCCTCTGCCCCTCTCCCCCTGGTGCACCCATGCTCTCTCTCTCTCTCTAAAATAAACAAATCTTTTAGAAAAAGAATCATTATATCCATATATCACATGGAGACTGAAAAGCCACCCCTGATTAACTTTATCTTATTTTGATTACCTTGTACTTTCATAGCACTTATTAGATAACCTCTATACCAACCTATGATGTTTATTTTTTTCCTCATCAGTATTTTTATTGCAGTGCTTAGAGCACAATAGGAGGAATTTATCAAAAAGTTTATTGTCCAACTTGTTTAAATATCAAACAGTAAGGCTTTGGGCAGATGGAGCTTTTAGAGCTCAATGTTTGAGATTCCAGCAAATCATCCAAATCAGAATAGAGTATAATCTCAAATGAGAAATTTAAGTTGTTGCTGAGATCATAAGCACCACAAATGGGACTTTGTCTCTGTTTTATCTCTGGTGACTCAATGCCCAGCTCATGATAGGTGTTCAGTATAATATTTGCTGATAAAATGAAGTTTTTCTCCTAGAATTTGGATTAGACCTTTGCACGTTTGTGTTAATATCTTGTCTCCAGTAATTTTTAATTCAGTCTATGACCAGATACTTAGCATCCACTATGTATCATGTACTGTTCTCTTTGTTGGAGAAGATGCAGGAGTCCTGGAAAGATTGCTGTCTAAATAAAGGGAAAACACCATTTGTACAACAGGTAGTAAAATGTGGTACCCACTCTGAATGTAATCAGGGTTCAGAGAAGGGAGAAGTCAGTGTGGCCTAATGGTGAAACATTCAAGTAGAAGATGAAACTAGACCTAGGTATTGAAAGACATTCTCATTTAGTTGAAGGGAAGAGGGAGCATTTCAGGCAAAGAGAACAAGAGCAAGGGCACAGATGTGGGCCTGGAATATATAGCTCAAGGCTTACCTCTACCTCCACCTCCACCAAAGTCACTGTTAGGACTCCTTCTAGAATTTCTTACAGGAGGAGAAATGGGATTATACGTGGAAGTGGCCTGAACCAAGTGCTTTGGGGACTTTTCCTCCTTTTTAGGTGGCCTTGTGTCCTTTTTCTCTGTAGACTTTTTTTTTTTTTTTAAGATTTTATTATTTTTAAGTTATCTCTACACCCAGTGTGGGGCCTGAACTCACAACCCTGAGACAGAGTCACATGTTCCTCCAACTGAGCCAGCCAGGCATCCCTCTCTTTAGATATTTCTTTCCTCCTTTTGGAACTTCTCTCCAGCATGGGGTTGGTGTTGTAAAGGCAGGGTGGGAAGAACCAAAGTGGGGAATGGAGACAGGCATGGAAAAGATTCTTTAGGCCCGCTACTGAACATCATAAAGCATTACTTGCAGTTTCCACACAGTCAGGTCTTGTTCTCCATATTAGGAAAGTATGGGGATTAGCCAGGAAGCCTCAGCTAGTAGTGAGGGGTAAAGGTTTATGTGGAATGTTCTCTGTATTATATACACTCCTTGGGGATTGAATAGGATACCATGGGACAGCTCTGGATCCCCAGCTCTTTGTTTCCTTAGAAACACCACTGCAGTATAGTTGAGTGAAGAAACCCCCAGAAAAGGGGAAATGAAAATACTAGTGGGGAAGGGCCCTTTTTATGAGATGGAGGTCCCAGAAGAGATGGGAAGCACTGAGACCCACAACATAATTAGAAGAGTTACCAGCAAAGAAGAGGAGAGAATTGTCTTCCTTTGAGTCTGAAGGGAAATGATTGTTCATTTATTTTTCTTTTATATTTATTGAATTCCTAATTGTGCCACACCTGTGTTAAGTGCTTGGATTACAGTGGGGAGTGGGTCAAGCTGTTCTCTGCTTTTTTCCATGCTAGCTGTGGAGATAGATACTGAGCCCACCACAGTCAGTGCTAAGTAAGGAATTGAAATAGGAGAGTAATGGGGTGGTTATTTCTGATTATCAGTTCGAAATATATCTCTCTGAGAATGTGCCCTTTAAAGGTGAGATAGAAATGATAAGAAATTACCAATATCAAGGTCAGCAGGAAAACGTTTCAGACCAAGGAAACTGCCAGTGTGCTCAAGGGGCAGATAAAAAGCCAGTGTGGCCTTATCTTGCTTCAGGAGAAGGGGGAGTGGCAGGAGCTAGGCTAGGAGAGGTAGGCGGGGCCACATCACGGAGTGTTTTTTTGAAAGCCTGGATAAGAACTTGGATTTCATTCGAAGTTCAAAGGGAAACCACTAGAGGGTTTTAAATAAGGAGATCACATGATCAGCTATTATGCTGGTGATGGATGGGGCTGGGGGATTAGGATTAGAAGTGGAGGAAATAGGAGGTTCATGTATTCACCCCAGCAATACAGCAGGGTGTGATAGTAGAGGTGGGGGAAAATAAGCCAATTCTGGATATGTTTTGGAGGGACAGTCTGTAGAGATGTTCTGATTGACATGGGCCCAGGGGTAGGCTGGTAAGGGAAGGCGAGGACTCAGTAGCATCTAAGCTTTTTAGCGGACTAACTGGGTGGTGGCAGTAATGACTATTAATGGGGAAAAGAATAGATTCATTGGGTAAGGTTGGGGGAGCAGAAGTTCTGCTTTGGGCTTTTCACTTTGAAATGTCTTTAGACACTCAAATGTCATGACATTTAGACACTTTGGAATGGCTTTAAGCAGGGCACCTGGGTGACTCAGTCAGTTCAGCGTCCGACTCTTGGTTTTGGCTCAGGGCATGATCTCAGGGTCCTGGGATGGAGTCCCGTGTCAGGCTCCGTACTCAGGGTGGAGTCTGCCTGAAATTCTTTCCCACTCCCTCCCTCTCCACTCTTCTCCTAGCTTGAGAGTGTGCTTGCTAGCCACTCGCTCGCTCACTCACTGACATACATACATACATACATACATACATACATACATAAATCTTAAAAAAAAAAAAAGAAATGTCTTTAAGCATCCAAGTAGGCAAGAAATAATGGTTAGCGAGACTAGAATAGTGGTAGTGGAGGCAGGAAAATAATGGAACTGAAGTCTATATTTCCTCACTGGTGATTTAATTTATATAAAGACAGTGTTGCCTTCAGGCGGGGTCTGAGGACCCAGAGGGGGTCCCGCAGGATCAGCCAAGAAGGTCCTTGCCTTCATGCAGGATAGAAATCAAATGGAAGCTGAGAGGAAGAGAGAACAGAGTTTATTGAAGACTTGGAGAGAGTGCAGATACAGACAGAACATCTGGGAGACTTGGAAAGGAAAGGAGAGTGAGTCTCCTCTTTGCTTGGGGCCTGGGGTTTTTATTGAGGGTTGTGTCTTCTCAGGCATCCAGGAACAGAGAGGAGTGTTTAGGTGTCCTCCATAAGCTACTTATGCCTTGGAGCCAGAGGTCTTGGTGAGTCAGTGGTCTTGGTCACTCCTTAGATGATATCTATTGTGCTGGAAGACTCCAAGGAAATCATTAACTCCTTGACCTTTACAAGGAGAACATAAATTATTCTATAAGGTGTGTGTGGAGGGGTGTAGGCCTTTGCAAGAATAGAAACAGGAAAAGGAGCAAAAACAGCAATTTTTCATGGGGTTCCTTTAGTTTCCCTGTTTCAGCAGTATTTAAAACCCCTGCAACTGGATAAAGTCATCGTGATCAGAGGTCCGCAACTACTTCCACCGGCCAAATCTATTTCTCTGCCTGCTTGTCTATGGCCTGGGAGCAAGAATGGTTTTTACATTTTTTTTTAAAGATTTTATTTCTTTATTTGAGAGATAGTGCATGAGAGAGAGAGCATGAGCAGGGAGGAGAAGGAGAAGCAGGCTCCTTGCTGAGCAGGGAGCCCCACACGGGACTAGAGTCCAGGACCCTGGGATCATGACCTGAGAGGCAGACGCTTAACCGACTGAACCACCTAGGTGCCCATGGTTTTTACATCTTTTTAAATGGTTGAAAAAAAATTAGAAGAACCACAGTATTTCAGACACATGAAAATTATATGCACTTCAAATTTCAGTGTTCATAAATAAAGTTTTATTGGAAAGTAGCCATGCTTGTTCATATGTGTATTGTCTGTTTTCATACTACTAGGCAGAGTTGACTGGTCACATATGGCTTGCAAAGCCTAACATATTTTGTATCTGACCACTGATCTAGGTGTATGGAAGGAGAAGGTGGCTTAGGGATACATCCAGGTGTTATCATTGTTTAATTATGTACCAGTAGTTAAGTGTTGAACTGCATAAGAGGGAGCTTGATTTTTATATCTGCTTTCTTAGTTGCCAGCCAAAAAGCAAGGCTGGTGATTGGGGCTTCAAGAATTGATTGTGGCTCTACAGTAAGAAGAACACATCCATCATATCTTCTATGAGGATTAGAGAGACCATGGGATTCATAAAGTAATTTTAATCTTTTCAAGCTCCTTAGATTTGAATAGTTTTTTTATCTTTGTGTTGATCATCTTGATTGAGACCAGGTAAGTGATGTACAACTTAAGTAACTGTAGTTTTCAGACCAGTAATTTTGGTGCATTATTGACACATGGCTCATGCTCTGAGAGTAGTATAAAATATTTGGGATCAAGATTGCAATGGAAAATAATGTAGTATAGACATTAATATAAAACTATAGTTTTAGTTTTAAAAGGTGTAACTCAACTCAGTGCTATTTATTCCTTATAAGGAAATATACCTTATAGAATATATTTCAGAGAAAGCCAGAAATTCCCTCTACCCCATTCCATTTGCTTCAAAAAACCTTTTCGCTAAGGTAATGGATCAATGTAAGAGGGCTCAGAGGAGATGATTTCAGTTTCTATATATGTAAGAATATAATACTAATCAGTGACTTTGATTCTTTTGTAGGAACATACATTGATAGGTTCAGCAAATTCCCAAGATATCCAGCTCTGTGGAATGGGAATTCTTCCTGAACATTGTATTATAGACATCACAGCAGAAGGCCAGGTCATGCTGACTCCTCAGAAGAACACCAGGTAATATACTTTCATTAGTGTTAATGTCACAATACTTTTTAAGAGGACGAAAGTACGCTAGTTGTGGATGTTATACAGCATGTTTGGCCTTTGCTTTTAAGTTCACTTAATGAAGCTATCCAGTTAGTTACCAATTCCTTTACATTGAACTTTTTAATATCTCTTAAACCCATATCTCCTCTCTATACTCACTACCGTGGCCTTATTTAAATAAGACCCTCATCAAATCTTGATTGGAACTATGCCAACACTCTAATCTTTTTCCTGGGTCACTTACCATACAGCCAGATGGCTTTCTACAATTTTTTTTTTCCCCAAAGATTTTACTTATTTATTTGACAGAGAGAGAGAGAGAGCACAAGCAGGGGGAGCAGCAGAGGGGGAGGGAGAGAGAAGCAGGCTCTCTGCTGAGCAGGGAGCCCAATGTGGGGCTTGATCCCATGACCCCGGGATCATGACCCGAGCCGAAGGCAGACACTTAACTGAGCCACCCAGGCACCCCAAGCTTTCTACTAATTTTGATACAAAATTCCTTATATCCCTCCTATTTGTCTCCTATTCCTCTGTGCCTGTCATTCCTTTGGGCAGCTGACTCCCGTTTGACCTTCAAGGCTAAGCTCTGTCATTGTCTACTTTGGGGGAATTCCCTGTTTGGTCTACATGAAGGGCCCCTAGTATATATTCCCAGTACAGCTTATGCTTCCTGTTATGTTAAGACTTCATACTGTATTCTTTTCCTAAAAGACTTTATTTTATTTTTTAAGTAGTCTCCATGCCCAGTGTGGAGCCTAAAGCGGGGCTTAAATTCACGACCCTGAGATCAAGACCTGAGCTGAGATCAAGAGTCAGACACTTAACCGACTAAGCTACCCAGGTGCCCCATCATATTGTGTTCTTGTGGGCTGTTAACTTTTTTTATCCCAGTAGACTGTGAGCTCATTGAGGACAAGGGCCTGTCTTTTTTGGATCTCTGTCCTTAGTATGTAGTAGAAGACTAGTATATAAATGCTCAAAAAGTAATGAATGACGGGGCACCTGGGTGGCTCAGTTGGTTAAGCGACTGCCTTCCGCTCAGGTCATGATCCTGGAGTCCCGGGATCGAGTCCCACATCGGGCTCCCTGCTCAGCAGAGAGTCTGCTTCTCCCTCTCACCCTCCTCCCTCTCATGCTCTCTGTCTCTCATTAAAAAAAAAAAAAAAAAAAAAGTAATGAATGAAGAGATATAACATTATATAAATTAAATGTTTCTCAGTTTGCTTCCTTCAGCTGTGAAGCTGTTATTGCCCTGTTATATAATGGTTAACTGTTAACTGACTTACATTGATTCTTCAAATGTTGACCCATTTCATTATGTGGTACTGAATAATCATTAATATCATTACTAATCTTGGGGTGCCTGGGTGGCACAGTTGGTTGAGCATCTGACTCTTGGTTTCAGCTCAGGTCATGATCTCAGGTTTGTGAGATTGAGCCCCAAGTTGGGCTCCACACTCAGTGGGGAGTGTGCTTGAGATTCTCTCTCTTCCTCTCCCTCTGACCCTCCCCTTGCTCTTCCATGTGCTCTCTCTCTCTCTCTTTCTCTCTTTAAAAATAAATCAATCAATCATGGGGCACCTGGGTGGCTCAGTCAGTTAAGCGTCCGACTGTTGGTTTTGGCTCAGGTCATGAGCTCACAGTCGTGGGATCAAGCCCCATGTTGGGCTCTTCATGGAATCTACTTCAGATTCTTTCTCCCTCTCCCTTTCCCTCCCGCATGTGCACGCTCTCTCTCTCTCGAATATATAAAATCTTTTAAAATAAATAAATAAATCTTTAAAAAATACCATTACTAATTTTATCCAAAAAATCTAAATATTGGGAAGCTATCCAGCTCATGGTGAAGGATGCAAATGAGGAAGAGGAAAGAACAGCAGAAGCTGGGCCTGGCACTCCCAGCCTGGGCATGCTATTCTCCTATTAAATAGTCTCACAGAATACCAACCTTAGGCAAGGTTACTCTGAAGCTGTGATAAAATATGACAAAGCAGGCCACATAATAATTTTGTTTCAGCACAGACAAAAACCAGGGTCACTCTGTCACATACCAAATACCTTCTCTTGGCTGAGGTGAGTATTACTTCTTTACCAGTCACAGCTTTATCCTCATTCTAGTCTCCCCTCTTATAGATAAGATTTTTTTGAAATGCCCAATCATAAAAGTACTCCGGCTTTCTGACAGCATCCAACACATCCAGAACCCCTCTCTCTCAGAGCCTTTGCCAAGTCGTCCGGCTAAAGCCCAAATCCTGTAACAGTCCTTCCGAGCACACTGTCACTGAGATACCCCATGCTTCCTGCGACTGTGTCTTCTCCCTGTGCATGAGGAATCAGCCCAGCTTGTTCAGCCTCAGGAATGCTCCTAGTGGTCTTTGGGTGAAGGACATTGACACAGTTTCCACACTCCCAATTTTCACTTGAAATTTACAGTTGGCATTTCCTCGCTTTGTCCATTTTCAAGAAAATGGCTGCCCCAGATACCACTTTGTTTATGTCTTTTGCTCAGGACAGTCCTCATACTCTGGGGTGAATAAACACAGTGCTTTTTATGTACTTCTTGTTTTGTCACCCGAAATGTTTAAAAAAGTTGTGTACTCAGGGTCAGGATTTTTAAAAAGTAATAATTTTTTTTTTAAAGATTTTATTTATTTATTTGACAGAGAGAGAGATAGCGAGAGAGGGAACACAAGCAGGGGGAGTAGGAGAGGGAGAAGCAGGCTTCCCCACGGAGCAGAGAGCCTGATGTGGGGCTCGATCCCAGGACCCCAGGATCACGACCTGAGCTGAAGGCAGACGCTTAACGACTGAGCCACCCAGGCGCCCAAAAAGTAATAATTTTTACTGCTTCATCAAGGACATCCTCAAAGGAAACATTTTTTTAAAAATTGTGAGTGTATGGCAGTGAGTAGTCCAGTGACTACTAGTAATGTTTGGTGCCACTGCCTTGGTTTGTGCTAAAACTCTAGCAGTTTTACTCATTGTTGGTATATATGTCAACATGGTGGAAAGGGCAGGTTAGCATTATTATAAAAATAGCTTTGATCTTGGGGACCCCACAGAGACCACACTTTGAAAACTGTTATTATAATCGTGCTTTTATTTACTAATTATGGCTTAACTGCTGTGGCTTTTAAAAGTTAGCCTCTATATATGTTTGCCATTAATTGAACTCCTCATTGTATTTAAGGAATTTGTGTCATAAAGGCTAAAATCTGCTAATTTTAGTAGGTTCTCTCTTAATATAATTTTTGAGCTCATGCTTTGAGTAATCAGACTATAGGAGGACTAATTACTTTTAGTGTTTAAAAACCCACATGGTAAGTGAAATCCGGATGTAGAGAGTAGGATTTTATGTATATCCATATACATAAAAAGTAACTAGCAACATAAAGCCAGTTAAGTGCTTTAGGACAGTAAAGAAACTAAGACACTCTTGGCTGGAGTGACGAGCAGCTTTTACAGAGGAAGCAGAAACCAGCTGGCTTTGAAAGCTGAGTAGGCCTTGTTGGGGAGAATGGGGAGGGCAGGAACTCTATTCCAGGATTCCAGGTTGCAGGACTGGAATAAGCCTGGCTTTGAAAGAAGAGTCAATCAATCATGTTTAGTGGACAGAACATAAACCTTTTTTTTGGCTGGAGTTGAGAATTCACTAGACGGGGGAAAGAAAGGAAGAGATAAATAGGGCTTCCTTTTGTAGGGCCTTTATGCTATGTCTAAGCAAATGAGTCCTTCAGCAGGAGAGAGGCTTGATAAAACTGGTATTCCAGGAATATCAGTCTTACAGTGGTATGCATAATTTTTGTTTATTTCCTGCCCCTGCAAATTCTTCCCTTTATATCCTTCCATCCACCCTTCTGTTGAACTCCATTGTCAAGATAACCAGTCAAGTGGACCTTATAAATCTTTTATACATTGATAGAATATGAACGTTTTTCTGTGCTCTAGGAAGTTACAGAAGATTTTAGCATAGGTCTCATTTCTTATATTTCTAGAGTCTAGTTGGTTGATTGGCTCTTATTATTCATGTAGATTGGACATACTCATTTGAGTTGTAATGTATATTGCTACCAGCTTTCTACTGTTAGCTGTAATGGCTCCATATTTACTCCTTAATATGCTATATAACAAATTTGGAACTTTGAAAAGTAGAGGATAATAATTGATTATATTTAGTATTGCAAGCATTTCTTAGCAGAGAAGTAAATACAAATAAAGTTCACTGAGGGCAGGGGAATTGATTATTTCATTTTTCCTAGTAACTAGATCTCTATAGTATTGGATACTTAAAGGAGAAAACATGATAATCATTGTTTGCATTGACCTCTTCTCCCCCTCAGAACATTTGTAAATGGCTCTTCCGTATCTAGTCCTATACAACTCCACCACGGGGACAGGATATTATGGGGAAACAACCACTTCTTCAGGTATGACATTATTCATGGCTGTTAAAGAGAGATTATTGAAGATTATACTTTGAAACAGAAGAATGTATATTGGAAGGTAAACTTAACTCCATAAAAAGTATACATTATTTTGTACATATGTACTTACTGACTGTCTATGATTTGTTCATTGTATGCTTTGAGCCTGAGAGACATATGAACAATACTCTCAGGAAAAATAAGGAGTTTACTTACTTATTTTTTTCCTTTTTATTTCCCAGTGCAAGATGATTGTTTTGCCATCTGGTGTAAGAATTCATTAATTTTTTTTTTCTGACTTGCTTACCTTTTTATTTGTTTATTTTTTATTGGAAAAGAGTAGTTTCAGTTTCCTTATTCATAAAATAAAGTTCGTATTTTATTTAGGAATGTTTTCAGCTGCAAGTAATGGCAAACTTGACTATAATGCCTTAAACAGTTTGTTTCACTGACCAAATAAGAAATCCAAAGGTGGGTGGTTGTTGGCATTGGCTAAGCCTCTCAAAACTGTCATGGCAGAAGGCTTGTCACTGTCTCCTTGTCTTGGCATTTCCCTGTGGTCTAAAGATGGCCACGCCACTCCAGGTATCAAAGCAGCATCCAGGCACATATGAAGAAAATGAGGGAGAAGGTGCTATTAGCCTTATCTGCTTGATCAGAAAAAGCAGAAGTCTTCCTAGAGGCCCCAACAATCTTCCATTTTTGTCTCATTTGCTAGAATTTGCCTCTTAACTTCAAGGGAGGCTGAGAAAGAGCCTGTGCTGGGACTGCACGCAGTGTTTTCCATAGAAAACTGGTGTTGTGTTGCCAGGGAAGGGCGGGCTGGAGATTGTCCAGAACTACAGTCCTGGTCTGTTCCTCTTCCTGTCACTGGTCACCATGCTTGGGGTATCAGACTGACTTTTCTTATGGCTAATGGAGATCCTTTGCTTGTGGACCAGTTGATGTTTTGATTACTGAAGAAAGGGTAGAGGGGCACAAAGTGTGCAGAAAATATTTTTCTTTTTCTTCCTTTTCAAACTAAATCAGGTGTAAACTGTTTGGCTTCGTTTTCAAAGCCTTCATAGTTTGAATTACGTTGATCTTTCCAGCATTATCTCCCATAACTTCTGCTATACAAATTTTGTGTGCCCCTATGTTGTTATATTCATAATTTCTCCAGAGACTATGAGAGTTTCCATTTCCACATCTCTTCTCATGCTGTTCCCACTTGTAAAGCTCAGCTCAAATGACTTCCTACTCTGTCATCTTTTCTGTTGTTATTCCAGTGGGCCTCAGCTTTTCTTCAACACCTAGCTTGTCACAGGCATGTGGCCCCGAGTCACATGGTCTGTTGTAACCATTTGTGCATGCATGTGTGTTTATTTCTACTACTAGAGGATAAAATTCCGGAGTGTAGTAATTGCCTTACACTTACACGGTACCCCCTTGGCATCTAGCAAATGCCAGTATTTAATGAATGGAATAAGTGCGTATCTTTATTTTAAAAATAATATTCTTCCCCTCCCCCAAGACTGAATTTGCCTAAAAAGAAAAAGAAAGCAGATCGGGAGGATGAGGAACATGACACCTCCGTGAAGAACGATACCAGTTCTGAGCAGCTCGACATAGACGGGGACTCCTCCAGTGAGGTTTCCAGTGAAATCAACTTCAATTATGAATATGCGCAAATGGAGGTTACCATGAAGGCTCTGGGTAGTAATGGTGAGCAGATCTGTGCATTTTAGAATCTTTTAAAGCTGATGGAAAGTTAAAAATGTTTATGATTGAGACCTTTTAAATGTTAACAAAAAAGGAAATCTTTGTTATTCTCTATATTCTTTTAATTTATTACATTTATAAAAACTTTTCATTCTTTTAGCCTTGAGTACTAATCACTGCCAACTTTGTTCTCATTAATAGAATTTCTCAGGTTTGAAATTTGACTGCCACCGTCACTCTTAGGTTACGTGTAGAACATACACTAGACCTGCTTTTCCTCTGTGGAAGACAGTTCAGCATGTATTTGACAGAAGAGATGATATGATGAGGAGTGGGGAGTAAGGAACACTGAGTTTATTCCAGACTGTCTTCAGGAATCTTCATTTACTAATTAGGTTGCCAAACAGCACAGCAGTATAGAAGCACATTTGAAATCTATGGTGTTGTACTGTGACCTTTCATTCATTTTTACCTTTTAAAAAAACCTTATTTAGATCCAATGCAGTCCATATTGAACAGCCTAGAACAACAGCATGAAGAAGAAAAACGATCTGCATTGGAGCGCCAGAGGCTTATGTATGAACATGAATTGGAGCAGCTACGAAGAAGGCTGTCTCCTGAGAAACAAAACTGTCGTAGTGGGGACAGGTTTTCTTTCCATTCACCCAGTGCTCAACAGCGACTGAGACAGTGGGCCGAAGAGAGGTAGGTGCATGGGGCCTTTATTACGTGTGCGTAGCATATGCTCAACACTTTACCTCACCGAGATATGATACAGTATGGAGAAATCTGGACATTACTTGAAAAAGAATTATATTTAGAGAGAGTGTAACAGCTTAAGAACCATTTGGCATTTTTTTTTCATTTTTGAGAAAAACGGGAATTACCAATTTATATTGATTTATTTAAAGTTGCCCATGTTAGGTGCTGCCCCATTTTAGTTTGTATGGCTTTTGGATTTGAATAAACAAGTATTTGTACTTAGAAGTTATACTTTATCGTTGTATTATACCTTAGGTTCTGAAGCTTGGGTAGATGCTTTTTAAAAAAAGAAAAAAAAAAGGTGGTTATCTGGCCTCATTAGCTCAGGTAGGTAAAGCATGGTGCTAATGAGATGCAGATTGCAAGTTTGAACTCTATATGGGCTAATTAGCATTGCACTAAAATGTCTCATCCATGGTTACAGACTGTATTTAACTAACCTCTTGCTCTTCAAAGTTTGGTCTGCAGACAGGCAGCATCTCTAATCAGGTGGAGATTGATAGAAGTGTAGTGTCTCAGGCCCCACCCCAGACCTAGTGAGTCCAAATCTTTAGTTTATCAAGATCCCCGGCTGATTTTTATACACAGTCAAGTTTTTGAGGCACTGTCCTAATCAACGGCCAGCTTGTTACAGGAGCATGTGCCAGTACTTACAACATAGCCTGATACAAGCGCATGCATGGGTCGGTGTCAGTAACGTAGTCCCTGTGTGCACAAGGCAGTTGTAAAGCTTGGTTCGCAGTTTGGCATTAACATACTATGTACTACATAATACTCTGATGTGCTGCTTGATAGTTATCTCCCCCGCCCCCCTTTTTTTTTAAAGAGAAGCGACGCTGAATAATAGCCTGATGAGGCTGAGGGAACAAATTGTGAAAGCCAATCTGTTGGTGAGAGAAGCTAGTTACATTGCAGAGGAACTGGATAAAAGAACAGAGTATAAAGTAACCCTGCAGATTCCAGCCTCCAGCCTCGATGCCAACAGGAAGGTGAGGTTGTCGTTACTGGAAGAGACAAAGGGAACCACCGGAGAAAACTGTTGTCTGTTTCACCAGTGGTATTTAAACACCAGTGGGCTTGCCCTCAACCCCACCTACACTTTCTGCAGTCTGCATCCTTTTGTACTTGTTCTCCTCTCTCGAGTAGAATTTATTTGCTTTTAATTCTCTGCCTTTGTGCACATGTGTCCTTTGTCCACTAGAATACCTCTCCACCTCTTCCCACCACACCCCACCAATTTATTTCACTCAGCTTCCTTTCTTCAGTCTGTTTCTATGACTTCTGGGAAGTCTTTCCTGATGAATCTTCAGAAAGTCATTTTTCCCGTTCATTCTGTTACCACCCTCCAGCCCCCTTCCCCTAAGTTCCATGTTTAGTTTACGTGTATCATGTTATTTTCACTTGCTAATAGATTGCTCAGCAAAACTGTTTATTAGTTGTTTCATGTGTGTATTCATGATCACAAATCCTTTTTTTTTGGTATAATGTAATAACCTTAATAAATTGTAGGGGGAAAGTCCCATCAAAATTTTCTATCCTAGCCATCCAGTTGTTTTCTTTTCTTTGTTATTTAGGCCCTTTTCTAGCTCTCAGTCATATTCATACATAATTTTTGATGGTACATAGAATTTTATATTCAGATACATATTTTGAGGGTCCATGTGCTTTATTTCTCCCACAGTATTTGACACAACAAAGCTTTAATGGATTTGGTAGCAAGGACCATATCTTTCTTTTTCTTGTGGCATCCCAGCCTCAAGGTCATTGTTTTCACAGAGTAGATATTTGGCAAATAGGATGCTTAATGTTTTGAGTAATATAGGTATTGTGAACGTGATGCACTTACTGCTCTATGGAGACTTGTCTCTTGATACACGTTCTGTGTGTGATTTGAACTTAGAACTTTATTTTGCTTGTTGGCATTTGTTGGGCAAACCACAGGTGCAGTGGGACTCAGAGAAAAAGCAGTAGAGGAAAGCCAATCATGGGCTTAGATTCTTCTAGAAAACTGAGCAGAGCAAGGTCTTCTTCCATTCTGTAGTGTTTGAGTTGGAAAAACAGAAACATAACCCTTTTTTCCCCATGCAGCATGACTGTCTGTAGCCCTTTTCTGTGTATCCTGGCTCAGACTTTGTTCGAAGGGCAACCGTGCCTCCGGACAGCCAAGTCAGTACCTAGAAGTGACGCAAGTCATTTTGGGCCTCCCTCTCTCCTAGACAGCTGATAGTGTGTTCTGGGGCTGTTTGCGTGGCTGGTAGAGATGAAGCACATCGCTGGGGTCACGGCAGCCATTGTTAACATGTTAATGGCTACTAATCTACGCTACTACTATTGATTTAATAGATTAGTATTTTCAGATTTCACCCAGAGAGAGGAGCTGGACAAGGAAGTATTTCTTAAGGAGAGAGTCTTTTTTAACTCAGGCTGGGTCTTTCCTCTTGTATCCAATGAGACCTTTTGTTTTTCGTACTTGAAAGCTTTCATTTCACTTAATGTCTTACCTTTGCTGTGAGCACTATTGTTTGTTCTGGTCTTACTCCTGGCCTTGTACTCACCTCTCTCTTGTGATTTTGGTAAGAGACAGAAATTCCTTTTTTTCTTTTTTCCAGTTCTTGTTGTAGTTGCTGGAGGGCCAAGTCATGATGCTGCAGGATATTGCTGGCTGCCGTTTCCTCCCTGTTCTAGCATTCTCCACCTGCAGTACCACTCCATGTGGATCCCTGATGAGCTTTTTGTATTTATTCCGTAGCAGGCTGAGTAGAGGTAGAAGGACCTTTAGAGTATGAGAGAATGGCAGTTTTTGAGCTTCAGAATTCAGAATCTTTGTTTCATTATGTAAATTCCGTTTCTTTGAAAATGATTAGAGGTGAAATGGTAAAGCAACATCAGTGTATTTCACAATTCCCTAAAGTCCTAAGTAGACCTATCCAAACAGTTGATAAATTATGCAATAAATCTAAACTGATAACTGATAGATATGTCTCTCTGGGGGAGATACACAGGGGTATTTTTATTTTCTACTTGTGGTTTTAAAACTCTTTCTGTATTAAAACACATTGCTTTGGGGCACCTGGATGGCACAGTCGGTTGGGCGTCCAACTCTTGGTTTCAGCTCAGATTGAGCCTCGTGTCAGGCCCTGAGCTCAGTGTGGAGTCTGCTTGAGATTCTCTCTCTCCCTCTTCCTCTGCCCCTCCTGCTTGTGCTGTCTCTCTCTGTCTCTAAAATAAATAAATAAAATCTTCAAAAAAAAAAAAAACCCACATTGCTTTTACAAGCTGGAAAAACTTCATTAAATTCTAGGTTTTTTCTGGCGAAATAACACATAACAAAAACATTTTAAAGTGAATAGTTCGGGGGCACCTGGGTGGCTCAGTTGGTTAAGAGTCCAACTCTTGGGTCAGGTCACGATCTCAGGGTTGTGAGATCATGTTGCGAGTCGGGGGCTCTGTGCTAGGTGCTGGGTGTGGAACCTGCCTAAGATTCTCTCTCTTTCTCCCTCTGCCCCTCCCCCCATCTTTCTTTAAAAAAAAAATAAACAGTTCAGTGTTTTGGCCATTCAGTGTTGTATGACCAGCATCTTTATCTAGTTCATACTGTTTTTTTAATTTTAAATTTAAACTATGTGTATTTACAGATTGATATCATTTGTTGCCTTCAAATGGGTAAATGGGGATTCTTTTCACAGTTTGCTCTTCTAAACATTTTGTGTTTTGTACCACATTAAGATACTACCCATTCAAAGAAAAAATTATTTATTTATTTATTTGACAGAGAGAGAGAGAGAGAGAGAGTGAGAGCAGGAACACAAGCAGGGGGAGTGGGAGAGGGAAAGAAGCAGGCTTCCCACCGAGCAGGGAGCCCGATGTGAGGCTCATTCCCAGGACCCTGGGATCATGACCTGAGCTGAAGGCAGATGCCTAGCAACTGAGCCACCCAGGCGCCCCTCAAAAAAAATTTTTAAATTCAAACTTTTGAAAGGTAAAAGATCATTTCTTAGCTCTCAATCCCAGCAGACTTTCCCTTGCCATTCAATGCTTATGACTCTTTTTCTACCCACAGATACTCTTTGGTCAGATGATGGCCTGAATAAAACCTTTTTAGGTTTTTACGTTTTGATTTAGTCTTTGGGGTTTTATTTTTTTTATTTATTTTATTTTTTTAAAGATTTTATTTATTTATTTGACAGAGACACAGCAAGAGGAAACACAAGCAGGGGGAGTGGGAGAGGGAGAAGCAGGCTCTCCGCGGAGCACGGAGCCTGATGCGGGGCTCGATCCCAGGACCCTGGGACCATGACCGGAGCCGAAGGCAGACGCTTAACAACTGAGCCACCCAGGCACCCCATAGTCTTTGGGGTTTTAAATTTAAATTTATATCCCATTTACTATATGAATAACCTACTATATGAATAATTTACTATATAAATTTACTTTTTAAATTACATCTAATTTATATACTTAAATTTAAATTTTGATCACAGTTGAATATAATGGCATTATATTAAGCTTAAAAGGTTCCTGAGAGGGGCGCCTGGGTGGCTCAGTCGTTGGGCGTCTGCCTTCGGCTCGGGTCGTGTTCCCGGGGTCCTGGGATCGAGTTCTGCATCGGGCTTCCTGCTTAGCAGGAGGCCTGCGTCTCCCTCTCCCACTCCCCCTGCTTGTGTTCCCTCTCTCACTGTGTCTCTCTCTGTTAAATAAATTAATTAATAAATTAATAAATAATCTTTAAAAAAAAAAAGGTTCCTGAGAAGTTTTGCAGTGAACTGACTAGAGAAGGATAGAAATTCTGTTTTGGTTGATGACATTTGACTGGTGGGTGTAGAATGTTCAGAGTTGGCTTCCATGGGGGGTATCTTTGTGTTTCACATGGTCACTCTTACTGTTTTACAGCGAGGCTCTCTTCTTAGTGAACCTGCAATCCAGGTGAGAAGAAAAGGAAAAGGAAAACAGATTTGGTCTCTAGAAAAACTGGACAACAGGTTGCTGGATATGAGAGACCTTTATCAGGAGTGGAAAGAGTGTGAAGAAGATACCCCGGTAAGTTCTCTTGAGAAAAATTACGGAACTGGTAGTCATAGAAGAAACCAAGCAGGAAGGAGACTACCCGTTTTAGGGAAGAATTGTTCATTCTGCTAACATAGTAATCCTGTTTCTAGAATAATATTTATTTTAATCCTCTAAATTGTTTGGCTAATCAAGAATCTTAATAATTATTAAATGGCTGCATAATATTCCATTGTATATATATACCACATCTTCTTTATCCATTCATCTCACAAATAGAAGCCTACAATATCTCTTTTTTGAATAGAACATTAGTGGTATCTTAATATTTGTACTACTAAGAGCAGATTTGGAAGGAGTTCTGATCCTAAAGTGGGTGCTGTAGAGCTGTACTCTGGAACTTTCTCCTCAAGTTGCAGATTTTCCCATTTAGGTCAGCCATGTACTTGTGCATATTTTAAAACAGAAATGCATATTGTGTATATTTTTACAGTTTTCAACCCTGCTGGTCTTGTTTCCACATAGAGTTGTTTACTTTTTAGTCTCTTGTTTTTTATTTTTATTTTTTTTAGCCTCTTGTTTTTTAAAAAAATATTTTTTCCAGATTATCATCAATAAAAATGACTTTTTATCATTAGATGACATTTTTTCTTAAAATTTTTTTCCCTCTTTCTTCTGTACTCTTGTATTTCAGCCCAGAAATAAAACAACATTAACAAATTACAAAAAAGCGAACTACTCTCATGAAGGGGGTCAGCTCTTGTTAGTGGCAATGCATCTTATGATTTGGCAGGAACAAGTGGAATAAATAAGAATGAAAACTAAAGAGTACTTTTGTACACTCAACTTCTTTTTCTAGTCAGTTGGTTTTCTCTATTTTCATGGCAAAATTTCCACCTAAAGGAGAAGTGATAAACGTAATGATGTATTATTGAGATGGCTGTCATGGGTGAAGTATGCTGACCACTATTCTAATGGGAGTGAGGAAGAGAGAGTCGTGTAATCCAGTGCTGTGCTTAAGCTAAGTTTAATGACTTTATGAGAGGCCATCAAAAAGTGGTAGTAGGTTGAATTAATTTATTTTAAGTGATTTCTGAAGTTGTGATGTTCCAAATCTCTTTAAAGCTCATACGGTCTTACTTCAAGCGTGCTGATCCATTCTATGATGAGCAGGAAAATCATAGTCTCATTGGGGTGGCGAATGTTTTCCTCGAGTCCCTCTTCTACGATGTGAAGTTACAGTATGCTGTTCCAATTGTCAACCAGAAAGGAGAGGTTAGTTTTCTCTTCATGCCTTGTTTCCTTCAGATAAAAGTTTAAGAAACAGTAGAGTGATTACAGTATATTGTTGTGACTGTTTTTCATTAATAATGACAAGTGCTATTTATGTGCATTAATAATACCTGTGTTTCCATCTGCCTGATGGTGATTATTCCAAGTACTTTGAAGGAAAGTAACTGTTAGAACCTAGGCTTCTAAATTCTCATTTACCATTAACCCAATCATTTAACTCTAAACAGAAGAAAAAAGAAAATCTGGAAAGAATACCTGCTTCTCTATTGTTCTAGGTGGCAGGTCGGCTGCATGTCGAGGTGATGCGAATAAGTGGTGACATTGGGGAAAGAATTGCTGGAGGTGATGACACCACAGATCTCTCCTGTGATAAGGAAACCCAGGAAAACAGACTCGTGTGCATGGTAGGTCCCAGTTTCATTTAGAAGTAGTGGAAGTGTAGTTGATTTTGAGGATTGTGGCTATTTAGACAATAAATATTGTGTTCTTTTTGAATTTTGAAAATATCTGTGTCTAAATAAATCTTTAGAATTGGTATTACAGAGACCATATTTCATTATATATACTGATTTACCAGTTAGCTAGGTACTTCCACTGTGAGGTACTTCACAGGTACCAGTTAGCTAGGTACTTCCACCTGCCTCTGTGAAGCCTTGGATAAGTCACCTCTTTCTTCTGAACCATTCTGCTCCAAAGTTATATGGATTTATGTTTATCTGAACTTCTCTCTAGAGAAGCACAGTTTTTTCACATAAATTTCCTCCTCCTATTGGACCTCTTGACTTCTGCTGAGGCTCAAGATTTATCCTACCCCTGGTTCTGTTCCTAAGCTCCTACTATACCTCATTCTTCACACTGTTTTTCTACACGTTTTTTGTTCCTCTTTACCCATGTGCCTTTGTGTATGCTATGTGACAGCATGTGGCAGTCGCAAACCCTGCTCTTCCCATTCTTCCCAGGTATGCCATTCGTGAACACTGCTGAGTGTTATCTGTCAGACATTGTACTGGGAATATAAAGATGAAAAAGATAGGATTTCTTCTCTTAAGGAGCAGCCTGTGTAGTTTGTGTGTATGTGTAGAGGGACACACAAGTGAACAGAAGACTCCAATATCGTGTGACCCAAGTGCTCTGAGAGAGGTAGACGAGATATTTGGGGACATAGAAGAGAGGTAATTAATTCAGAAAGTAAAGTCTGAGGAAAATTTCTGGAAACAAGACTCACAGTGGACTTGAAGGAGGGCATGTTATGCAAAACTCTGTCTTCACAGGGTGCTGTGCTTTTTTCATGGATAATTGGTAGGTAGATTTTAAGTAGGTCATTACATTCCTGAACTCCTACCCAATTGCTGTAGGTAGTGCTGCCTCTGTCACATTATGACAATGAAAAAATTCCCCTCAGACCTTTCCAAACACACCCTAGCTGGGCCAGTGTGCCATCAGTTGAAAATCACTGTAGGAACCAGTGAAAAGGTTTTTGAGGAAGAGAAATCCACAAGGCTCATAGGAACAGTGTACGAGTGAGAAGAAGGCCATTCAAAGGTGCAGTGAAAGAAGCCTAAACTTAACTCTAGTTTCATCATCCATCCTCAGTCCAGTCCTGTGTCTCAGTAAATATTTCTAGAATTGGAGTTGACACTGAAAGGAGTAAGGGATGCATTTGCTGCAAGCTATGGGGAAGCTGTAGCTGTTAGAGTTGGGCTCCCTTTGAGGGTCTCTGCACGTATTAAGAAGGCCTCAGACATTTAAGTCGGATGCTTCAGAAGGCGGGGAAAAATTCTTAATTCACTAAAACGTTAATCTTTATGTTATTCTTGATTCTAGAACATTTTTTTCTGAGGTTATAGGATTACCGAAGGTTGAGACATAGGCTTGATCATTCCATAATGGGCCATTTCAAAGGTGATGGACTAGTAAATGCAGCTGTGTGAAAGTTGACATCAGTTCAAGGATATTGTCTCACTTGGGAAAGTCATCACTGAAAAAATGTAGTATACCCTGGGTAACATAAGTTTTTTTAAGAAAAAAATGAAGTTAATATATCTTGAGATTTTTTTAGTGGAAGATAGCAAACATATACAAAAGTAGTGAGAAAAGTGTTATTGATCTCCACCCACCCTCCCTCAACATCAACTCATGGTCAGTCTTATTTCATTCATCTGCCTAAGCCTGTCTGTGCTGTCTCCTTTCCGTGGGTGATTTTGAAGCTGTTCCAGACATCTTATTTCATCTATAATAGTTTAGTATTTATCTCTAAAAGAAGAGTACTGAAAAAAACCCATTATATCATAAATAAAACTGAATACTTCCTTAATATGAGATACCCAGTCAGTTTCCTTGATTGTCTTGTTTAATGTGTCTCTTAAATCTATCCTAATCTTTAGGCGCGGGCACTTACGCTTGCTTGCTGCTTCTTCTCTCATTGTTTCTCTCTTACCCTATAGTTTATTTATCATAGAAACTGGGTGGTTGTATTTTCTCATAATCTTGATTTTGCTGATTGGTATTATTTAATGTGTTAAGCTGCATTTGCTGTAAATTGGTATTTAGATATGAAGGTGATATAAGGGAAAGGGGGTAACAAGGACATTTTATAGGTGATGGTGTGTTCTTCCGTCAGAAGGCACATTATATCTGGTGTTCTTTTGGGGATGTTAACAATTTTTGCTAATTATACCTAGATATTTCATGAGGAGTTAGAAAAGAATGATACTATAATCCTGTCAACCATCATTTATTAGCTAGAATTCTTTTCTAGAAAGAATCGTCCTATTACATCAAGTATTTGCTCCTCAGAGATACAGTTTTGTATAGGAAAGGCGGGGTAAATGCTCCATTCTTTTCTCCTTTTAAAAAAACCTCATTTTGAAAATAATTAATTGGTTTTCCTACTAATATACAAAAGTAACCAGTGAGATTTTGTTTTTAGTCCAAATATCATTATGAACTCTTCAGTGTAAGCATATTTGATGTGTTTCTTTTTTTTTTTTAAAGATTTTATTTATTTATTCCTAAGAGACAGAGAGAGAGAGAGGCAGAGGGAGAAGCAGGCTCCCCGATGAGCAGGGAGCCTGATGTGGACTCAATCTCAGGACCCCTGGGATCATGACCTGAGCCAAAGGCAGACGCTTAACCATCTGAGCCACCCAGGCTCCCTTGATGTGTTTCAATCCGTGTATTTATTACCTATATCAAAGTTCACATGATCCCATCTTTGGCCTGTGGTCTCCTCTCTGGAGTCCTTTTGACACAACCCTAACTGTCATAGACTGTGATAGCTTTATTGCTTTCTGGTATGAGGAATATTCTAGTCCCATCCTGGACCTTTCTTATCCCAGACCTGGAATCAACCATTTCTCCAAGGAACCTGGCTCGTTTCAGTGGGAAGTGGTTTTTAGAGACCATATTCTAAGCATGTAATAGTCTTTTATGTAAAAGGAGAAAGACAGACTGTATGAAAGTAAACAAAATATTGGTGGAAAAAACGAAATCAGTTTGGGACACTTAACAATAATAAGTGATAAGTACCACCAGCTTATAAAAGCAGTCTGGTTTTATTTTTCTGTGATGAACATAAGTATGCACGTATTAACATACTGATATTTTAAATTACATTAAATTAAATGAGTATATTTTAAAACCCCAAACAGCATGTCTTGTGACATTCCTGGGCTTTATATTGAACAGTGGCAAGTCAAAGTCTGTGGTATTCTGACACCTTGTGGTGATTTTGATTTCTGTTTGCAAAAACTTAAAAAACAAAAAACAGACAGCAACTATGTTCTGGATATCAGGGTATTCCTCATTTCTGATATTCTTCATTCTTGGCAGTTCTTATTCCTGATAAGTTGCCTTTAGGATATAGGTCAGCATATGAAATCTTATAATTTATTTCAACCTTAAAATTGAGATTGATTTCTAAGAAAAAAATATTGGCTTTCCAGTGGAATTTAATCACAAAGAAGTATGTTTCCAACATCTGTCCACTCAATGCTTGGATGTGTTTTCATTCATTTCATTCCATTGTTATAGTCAGTCCTCATGCCAGTATCATTAGGTAGCTATCCTGTTTTACGTAGAAGAAATCTCAGCCTAAGAAAACTAAGAATTTAATCTGCTCAAAAACAGAAGCTGCTATGTGGCAGAGAGTTTTATTTAGATCTCTTTTCTACAGAAATCTTGTAATCTTCCCAAATATTACATTGTCTCACCTTAAAGAATATAATAAAAAATTTTAAACACTTAATGAAAAAGTGATGGTTTTTAAAATGAGCAAAAAATTAATTGCTGAACACTGATTGCTCTGTTAGGTTTGGACAAATGAAATGCATTAGTCAGTCTGTCTTTTTGTATCCTGTTGGGGAATTGCTATCTAAATGTTTCGAACTCTTGTTGCCATTGTTGGGAAAAATGAATAAAAATAGGAGTTCTCAACCATTGCTTACCCATTATGTGTACCTGGTATGGGAAAAATAGTCATCTGCTTTGCCTGATATTCTGTGTTATTATTAATGCTTCCTGAAATGTTAAGACGATTGTATTTGTGGTTGCTGAACTTTATCAACTTTGGTCACATATTCAAGTTTACTTTTGTTGAATTTATTTACTGGAGGCACAGCGTATCATGCAACATACAGGAAGTGACCAGAGAAGAACATAATAAATGATCAATGGTCAATCATATGAAAGTCAGCCCGTAATCAATTATAAAATCAGAATTTAGTTTTGCTTAATTAATTTTAGAATTTAGTTTCCTTCATAGTTGGAAGAGTTTTGGAATGTCACAACTTATCACAAAAATTGCAGCTTAAAAATCAACCTGACACTGACTGCCAAAAGAAATATTTAGAATTTTTGGACTGCTTTAAAATCCATTATGGGCATTTATTCCTGGTGCATTTGAGTCTGATTAGACATATATTTCTAATTGTATGTTGTTATCACAAAACTTTACACTCCTGCAGTCCAGGGCACATTTCCTTTGATTCATCTCCCCTAAATCTGCATGGAGAAGGCACTCAGTAAGAGTTGATACAGAGATGGTCAACATTCACCATCTTTAATCTCCTCCCTTTATCTCTCCAGATCTTCAAAGCATACATTCCTGATGCCTTTAAAATCTTCCAAAACATCCTCTATTAGCATATAACTTTCTACTTAAGAACCTTGTTCTTTTTTATCCTTCAAACTATCAAATAAATGTTTTTTGCTCTTTCCGGAATATTCCTTATTGGCACATATGCTGATTTCATTCTTCATTCATCATTCTTGACAATCTTATGTTCTTGGGACATATCCATAGTTAGCCAAATTCATATCATTGAATGGTGTTGATGGTTGAGAACTTTCTTTTTCTGAGTTGATTATTAGTATTATAATATGATGATGATGATGATGATGTTACAAGAAACTAGAATTGGTTGTACATGCTTGAAAACATCCAAGTTTATAGTCAAGGTCGTTATCAAAGTTTATAGTCAAGGTCGTTGTTACCCCGTGCCAACCTCTCACTAAATGACAGTTGTTGTCACCATTTCACAGATAAAGAAATACAGCCCCAAAGTGACGGGGATTTGGTCAAGAAGGACCAGTAGTGACACAGTCAAGACTGGAACCCATATCCCACTCAAGGCACTTGTTGCACCTTTTCTGAGTTAAAAACAGAGGCTTCCTTTTCCTTCAGGTTAAAATACTCCAGGCCACTGGGTTGCCACAGCATCTGTCCCACTTTGTGTTCTGCAAATACAACTTCTGGGATCAGCAGGAGCCAGTAATTGTTGCACCCGAAGTTGATACCTCCTCCTCCTCTCCTGTCAGCAAAGAACCTCAGTGCATGGTTGTCTTCGATCATTGCAGTGTAAGTTTCTTTTCCAGACTTGGTCAACATTTGATTACTTAGGTAAAAACAAAACTGTAAAATGAGCATTATTTTGTTGAATAATTTGGTATCAATATGTATCTCGAATCAGAGTTTCTCAGAGTGTGGTTGGAGTCAGAAACCAAAATGTCATCAGTACATCATACACCTTAAATTAGCACAGTGTTATATGTCAGTTATATCTCAGTAAAGCTGGGGGAAAAAACACTAAAGTGTCAGTGAATTTAACTCCTCCCCCACAATCAAAATTTACTTTTGTGTGAATATATATACAGCTGACCCTTGCACAACATAGGTTGTAAATGTATTTTCTCTTCCTTTTGGTTTTCTTTTTTTTTTTTTAATTTTTTTTTTACTTTTTAACTAATTTTGGGGGGGGGGTGGGACAGAGAAAGAGGGAGAGAGAATCAAGAAGGCTCCATGCGGAGTGCGGAGCCTGACGTGGGGCTCAGTCTCAAGACGCTGAGATCATGACCTGAGCCAAAATCAAGGTTTGGGTGCTTAACATACTGAGCCACCTCGGCACCCCCCTTCTGGTTTTCTTAATAACATTTTCTTTTCCCTAGCTTACTTTATTGTAAGAATACAGTATTTACTATGCGTAACTTACAAAATATGTGTTAATCAACTGCTTATGTTATTGGGAAGGCTTTCTGGCCAACAGTAGGCTATTAGTAGTTAAGTTTTGGGGGAGTCAAAAGTAATATGTGGGTTTTTGACTGCATGGGGGTTTGGTGCCTGTTATCCCCACATTGTTCAAAGGTCAACTATATGTACCTTTCTCAAAGGAACCCATGTTTTGTATTAGATTACTGGAGAAATTGTCATCTGAAAAGTTTAAGAAACTGGTGTTTTAGAGAAAGTGAAAATAGAAAAGAGACAAAATGAACTTTATTGAACACCTAATGCTCTGCTAAGCACTTTATGTTATTCTTTCATTTGATCTTTATCACAGTTGTATTTGATGATAGTATTTTTTTGTTTCAGCAGCCAGTTCAGAGGGATCAGTTTACCCACGGCTAGTAATTAGAAGAGCCAGTATAGTCAGACTCCAGATTATTTATTTATTTATTTATTTTTTACTGTACCACAGTTAATCCATCTCATTTTTTTCAAGAGAGAGGTCTCTTCCTAATCTATTTAGAACATAGAAATACATTTAGTGTGTTAAAGATCGAGAGAGAGAGAGAGAGAGTGTAGATTCTATGACTTTTTTCAATAAACTGTTTTAGAGCTTAATAATTACTGTAAAATGCTGTCATATATATCTTGTAAAGATGGACAGATTGGGAGGATTTTTTAAAATTAGATTTTTTTTGTAATGATGATCATTATTTATTTCCTTACTCTCCTATTATTGGAGATAATTAGCTTCCTAAAAGCTAGGAAAAATTGTTATTCTAACACACTGCTACCTTACTGCATCTAATAACTTTTATATCAAGACATTGTAGATCATTGTTGGAATTATTAATATAATTATTAATACTTTAAAAATAGCTTCCCAAATATTGCTAACAAAACAGAATACAATGCTGGTCTTTCACAATAGATTTTCAAGGTGAAAAGTATTTTTATTTGTTTTATTTTATTATTTATTTTATTATTATGTTATATTAATCACCATACATTACATCATTAGTTTTTGATGTAGTGTTCCATGATTCATTGTTTGCGTATAACACCCAGTGCTCCATGCAGTACGTGCCCTCTTTAATACCCATCACCAGGCTAACCCATCCTCCCACCCCCCTCCGCTCTAGAACCCTAGTTTGTTTTTCAGAGTCCATCGTCTCTCATGGTTCATCTCCCCCTCCGATTCCCCCCCCTTAATCCTTCCCCTCCTGTTATCTTCTTCTTCTTCTTTTTTTTTTTTAACATATAATGTATTATTTGTTTCAGAGGTACAGATCTGTGATTCAACAGTCTTGCACAATTCACAGCTGAAAAGTTTTTTTGTTTTTTTTTTTAGATTTTTTTTATTTATTTGACAGAGACACAGTGAGAGAGGGAACACAAGCAGGGGGAGTAGGAGAGGGAGAAGCAGGCTTCCCGCTGAGCAGGGAGCCCGATGTGGGGCTCGATCCCAGGACCCTGGGATCATGACCTGAGCCGAAGGCAGACGCTTAACGACTGAGCCACCCAGGCGCCCCTGAAAAGTATTTTTAAAAATCAGATTTGTAATTATATTTAAAGTCAAGAACCTTTGGACCATCTGAGCATTCATTATGCATGTTAGATGACAGTTCTGTTCTATAACTAAAACATTTTTTTTTTCATTTCTTTTCTCCATGAAGTAGGTGTATGACAGTAGGTATAAGTAATCATAAGGTTACCAGAAAATACTTCCTCTTCTGTAATTATTTTCTTTCAGGAGTTTTCTGTTAATATTACTGAAGACTTCATTGAGCATCTTTCAGAAGGGGCTTTGGCAATTGAAGTATATGGCCATAAGATGAACGATCCTCGGAAAAACCCAGCCCTGTGGGATTTGGGGATAATCCAAGCAAAAACACGTAGTCTTCGGGACAGGTGAATTTTAGATATTCTTCTGATTCCATTTATAATTTTAAAGAATTGCTAGAGAGTAATACTGCCATTTGTAAAGGTAGCCCTTTCCTGAGCATTACCAGTATCCCAGGGATAGATGCAATTGTTTCCAGGGTATTTATAGCACATTTAAACTTCCTTACAGGAATGAATTTTGAAGAGTGATGGAAGAGATGTTAAATGTATAGTTAGTTAAGAATAAAGAGTGAATGAATTTTTGGAGAATAGTTGCTTATCATTCTGAATTCTAATTAATCAACTCTAGGGAAAATGGATCAATATATACTCTAGAATTCAGGTTTTACTTATTTTGTCTTTAGTGCAAAGTTCTTTTGAAATGCCATTAGTCATGAAAGGAGGCAGGCTTATTTGTACCACGATTTTAAAAAGAAGAGTTAAAAGGGAATGACTGAAAGAGTGTGTATTCATGCTTTCCATCTTATTATAGAAGAGAACCAGATTTTCTTTTTTCTTGTTTTGCATTTAGAATGTTTTAGCAAATCCTTAACTAGAATTGAGTTTTTTTCTTGATTCTGTTATTAATCCGAGCAAAGATTCTTGTCAGGTTACTAAATCAAGCATATATATCACTACCTTTATCTATGTAAAGATAATCATTGTACTTGCTTCTGGACTTCTGATTACCATATTTAGATTTTTGAATAGCCACTTTGAAATAGATTTGAAATTATCATACCTTTTTGGATGAAATGAAGGAGCCATTTCTAATTCTGATGTTAAATTTGTTTAATTTTGGTTTAATTATATTTGCTAGTATATATTTGTGTATTACTCACTGAACTATAGGTCATTCTACTGAATTATTCAATTTGGAGGTCATTATCATTGTTAGTTTTCATGTGAAGGATCCTAAGCTGCCTGTATTGAAATAGAAATGTATAATTTTCCAAGAACTTCAACTATTTCCTAGATGGAGTGAAGTTACCAGAAAAGTAGAATTCTGGGTCCAAATCTTGGAACAGAACGAGAATGGTGAATACTGCCCTGTAGAAGTAATTTCTGCAAAGGATGTGCCAACAGGAGGAATCTTTCAACTCCGGCAGGTAAGAAAATTGTGAAAGTTATCATTCTGAATGTTAACATTAAATTCTTTGGCACTGTAAAGCTTAATACTGGATTCCTATTAGCAGAAATGTTAGATCGGTGATAATGAAATCTAGACTGGCCAAGTTTATTCTTTGTATTTAAATTGTCTCCTATTTCATGTCTATTTTCTTTGATTTTAGAAAATATTGCTAATTATAATATTTTAAAACCAGCTTTTCTTAGGTTTAAGTAAGCAAAAAGAGAAGCTTTCAAGAATGACTTAGAATTGAATTGCAGGAAACAATAGAAACATATGAAGCAGCATTAGAATATTTCTAAAGACAAGGAGAAGCAATGTGACATGGCAGAAAGAATAAGCACTTCACAGGCTAGTAACATGCTAGGGTTCAGTTCTGGTCTCCCACGGCCTAGCCCTAAATCTGTGAGCAAGTTTGGTAACCTCTCAGAACCTTTCCTTAGGTATAAAGTGGAGATGTGATGATAACAACAACTTTGTAGGACTAGTGTGAGGTTTAGAGATACTGTATATGAAGCACAGTGTTTGGTACTTGGGAGGTGAAAGGGTTCTTTTCCTCCTGACACCAACCAATTCTCTGATTCTCTGCAGGCACCAACCGGTGTCCCACAATGCAATTCAGTTTCAACCTGACCACTTGAAATTAGTGTCAGATGCCACAGGTTTAAGAGCTCAGACTTAAGCAAGCACAAGATTGCCCTCATTGCAGATGCCAGTTGCCAGTATCGGGTCCTTAGTTCTATCCAGCGTGGCTACAAAGTTGGGGGTTCGCCCAACTCTCCTCCCCTTTACTTTCTGTTTCCAGTCTTCTTAAGTAAAGGTTGCAACTCAGGAATGACCTGGTGGAGGAGAGGCATGAGATACAGTATGGGAGGAGGGATAAGGAGCGTCCATGTCCTCTCTGGGTGTGCCAGCCACCCTCCCACCACCTCGATTTGTCCCCCAACCAGGAAGCTCACTGAAACTCATTGTTTGGAGGCTTTTATGGATGTTCATTATGTAGACATAACTGATGAAAGCTTTGGCCGTGGGTGATTAACTTGATCTCTATCCCTTCTCTGCTCTGTACAGAGGTTTTGGGGTGGGGCTGACAGTTCCAAACTTCTAATCAAGGCTTGGTTTTTTTTAGCTACCGCCCCCTTCCTGAAGCTATCTGGGGGCCTACCAAGAATCACCAGACTTAAAGTTGTGTCATTAAAAGATGCACCTATAATCATTATCACTCAGGAAGTTCTGAGAGTTTTAGGAGCTCTCTGCCAGGACCTGAGGACAAAGACCAAATATCTTTCTATGATACCACAGGAGGTATTAAATAAATGCAGCTGAGTAGATATGAACGCCTGCCAGAAATCAATACAGCAGAGAAATATGTGGGAATTGTCACTTAACCCCAGGCGGATTGTAATCTGTAAAATGTCTATGCTGCCAGCTAAAGAGAAAATATCTTAATAGAATTTACATAGAAGATTTGCAAATACTCTTTTTTGCTATACTTTACATTAATTCAACATTTAGTAGAATATCGTATCCCATGATAGTTTCTATGCTTTAGAACAATGATAAAATATTAGAATAGCCAACGTTGAAATCATTCATAGCAGAATATGGGAAAAGGTTAAAGGAAAAAGAAAGTTTCCTTCAATATTTAAGTTTCTGAATGTTTCAGAAGAGGAAGGTGATAAGCATTTGTTCTCTGACCCCCAGCAAATGAATTTTAGCAAATTCATTCATTAATGGTCAAAGAACTAAAAGGAAAAAGAAATTAGTTTAAACTATAGCATCAGATATATACATAAAATAGGATTCTTAAGGGTGTGAAGAACATCTTTTTCTGAACATCTGTTAAAGCTATATATATATATATCTTCTTTGGGTGCCTCAGAAATTCGTCGCCTGGAAGGCAAGACCAGATAATTTTCTGTGGTTTAGTATAAATAGAATATATAAGTATTTCTCATATTCCTGACAGCCTTTACTAAAAGTGTTCAAAGATGAGTTGAGTTCATCAGGAAATGCTTTTTTGAAGGGTGTGGATCTTGACCTGGATGCTGAAACAATAGTGCAAAGGCTTCTTTCATACATAAACAGCAAGAATAAAGATACAGTGGTTGGAATTAGGTAAATTTGGGGAGAAAGTAACATGTAGGAAGACCTGGAGAGCAGTAACAGAGGAGGTTATAGGAGCATGGAGCCTGTTCATAGAGGGATTTGGACGGTAGGCTCATTTGAATTAAAATATTTCAAAAATTGAACCTACTTTTCTTGAACAGGAAAACGGCAGAGGAGAACTGATTAGGTTCACCATATGAAATTGCCGGTTTTGTAGTTAAAAAATGCTCAAATATTAGCAGTTACAGGAAGTTCAATCTCTGAATTTAAGTATACTGTTTAAAGCATTTCTGTGGGGCAAGTAGACTGTTCTGGATCTTTCCCTCCTTTTCTTCCCTGTGCCTACCTTGAACCCTCCCCCCACAGTGCCTCTACTTCACCCTCCCAGTGTGGGCACACAAGGAGTAGGTTACTTTCTGTTTCAGGCAAAGTAAACAAACAAAATGTAGCTAATTGAAATGACTAAATTATTTTAGACAATTAAAATGTGTTCTGAGGTACTCTTTCCACAAGATATCTGATGCATAGTCCTTGGGAAATATTAAATCAAAAGACATCTGTAACCCATCTCTTTAAATCTAGCCTTCTGATTAATCATTGCCTAAATTGATTTCCCTGATAACTCAGAGCTCTTGGGATTTAAGATCTGATGGAAGAGGGGAAGAGTAACTGACTTGAAATTGTACATTCAGATTCCATTGTTCAAATTCTGTTTTACATCCCTGAAATTTATACACCGACTTTGAAGTCAGTAATTAGGGCATATGGGGAATCTACTTCATTGTAAACATACAGGGTCACATAGTATTTATTTTGAAAATGTGTATAAGAAGGAACAACTTCTCTCTGTTCATTCTTCATTTTGCAGCATGGTTTTAAATTATTTGGGATTAAAGCAGAGAATCCAGGATAGTGGTCATTATTCTTATTTCTGACTCTGCTTATTTTTAAAAGTAGATAATACTGTATATATATTGGGTTTGGTAATCTGCTCTTTTTTTTTTTTTTAAAGTCTGGTTACCAAACTCTTTCTTGAGAGAGAGAGAGAGGGAGAGCAGGGGGGAGGGGCAGAGGAAGAGGGGGAGAAAGAATCTTAAGCAGGCTCCACGCCCAGTGCAGAGCCCAACTCAGGACTGGATGTCATGACCAAGAGATCATGACCTGAGGCGAAATCAAGAGTCAGATGCTTAACTGACTGAACCATCCAGGTACCCCAACCATACACTATAACTTAATATATCACCTATGTTTTTCTACAGCAATATTTTAATGACTATGTAATATTTTATTATATACACTACAGTTTGAACAATTGTTAATATTATGCATTTATTTGTGTCTAGTTTTTTGTTATTCTTACCACTGCTTTAAGATTCCTTATACACATATATGATTATTTACTGAGAACAGATTCCTAGAAAGTTGAATTGCTGGGTGAAGGGATACTTAGATTTTTAAGGCAAATTGCCTTGCAGAAAGCTTTACTTATATTCCCACCAACAATGTATGTAATTGCCTGATTCATAAACTTTGGGCAGTATTAGAAATTGCCTTCTTAAAAGATAATCACTAGTTTAGCAAGTGAAAATAAAGGTGTATTGTGCTTATTTTAATTTGTATTGATTTGATTATAAGTGAGTTGAACAGTTTTTATTGTCCCTTGCTTTTTTGCATTTCCTTTGTTAGAATGTTTTCTCTTAATGTTTCTTTTTATTGAAAAAATATGCAAGCCATATATGTTCCATGTCTTTCTACTTGCTGAAAAGGTAAATTATTTTTCCTGATCGGTTTTTCAATTTGTAGTTGACTACTTAACTTTTAAGATATGGTGAGACAATGCCTCCAAAGTTAAACGCTTTCTCAACATCAGCCTGTAGGGGTCTCTCTAAACCAAAATTTTAGAAATTAAACTGATTTTAAGAAAAATTGTCTGTGATACAGGGACAGTCCCGGCGAGTCCAAGTGGAAGTGAAGTCTGTGCAGGAATCTGGGACTTTACCACTGATGGAAGAATGTATATTGTCTGTTGGCATTGGATGTGTAAAAGTTAAAACGCTCAGATCCCCCAAGACTCATGAGACCTTTCATGTAAGTTTCTGTGCCCATTACGTTCTTGTTGAAAGACCCAAGGAGATAAGAGAGTCTTTTGGAACCTGCCAGAAAGCTGCCTTCCATGAACAATTCTTTCAGTTTTTTTTCTTTCATTTTTCTTTGATGTCTTTTTTTCTTTTTTCTTTTTTTTTTTTAACTGTATTGCATTTGCATGGAATCACTGTACCAGACTGTTGGTCTTGCCCTGGTACATGGCAAACTGAGGGTTAAGACATCACAGTCTCTAGAAATTCCTCAGTTGCTTACTAGTGATTAACTTCCCCCACCACCCACCCCCTCTGCAGAAACCCCCTACTGGCTTGTAAAGACTGTTTGCCAGCAGGTGTTTGATTTCTCCTGGGGAGTGGGACTATAAACCCAGCAGGGAGAGTATTGTACTGGTTCCTGAAAAGGTCAAATGAGTGTTCTTCACTTTCCTATGAGAAGCTTAAGGTTTGACTCCAACTTCCTGAAAACTATAAAACCGAGAGTGGGAGCATAGGTGGGAGATAAAATATTATATTCATTTAGAAAACATCAAGTATGGGAAAAGATTCTGGTTGTTGAGTGTAGCCTGATTCTTGGAAAAATGATTGTTTTAGTTATGCATAATACATTTTTTCTTTTAGGAGGAAGAGGAGGACATGGACAGCTACCAGGTAAGGAAGCACCTGTTTGCCTCCTCAAATGAGCTTGATTCCAGTGCTGAATCACACATTCCTGAGTCTTGTCATACTGTTACTTAATAACTACACAATTAATTTTGAATCAAATGCTGCTTTTTCTCAAATTGATACAGAGTTTCGTAGACTTCAGTGTAGGAAATCATTTGTGATTATTATCTTTTTCCAAACCTGGAGCTCCCCATCCAATTTCCCTACAAATCCATTTCTCCAGATCCTTTTCCTTGTACTCTTTCTCTCCTTGAGTGGAGTCACCCACCCTTTTCCCTGTAAGAGCTGTCTCATACTGAGCCTCAGTCAGGCCACACTGCTTAGTTATTTTCCATCTTCCAAACCAGGTCACACAGGTTTGGTTTTGCCCGCCTCCCCTCTTCCTAATCTCCTGCAAGATTTTGTTTATGTCTGTCAAGTTCTATCTTGTTAGTCTTGCTAGTCATTGTTTAGGACTGTCAGAGCTCTTTGGATCCTGATTATGTCATCCAGTGTAGTCACTCTCCTGGTTTTGTATCATTCTAATTTGATAAAAATGTCTGCCTTCCTATAAGTGACTGATAAAAATATTGGATCAGATAGGGTTAAATACAGAGCCCTATGGCACAACAATAGAGACTTCTTTTAAGCTGATATTATTCCATTAATCACTGTTCTTTGGATGTGATATTTCAGTCATTTATGATTTCATTCAAGTAGGTTCATTGCACATTTCTCCATCTTGTCTACAAGAATGCCATGAGCTATTTGGTTAAGTGCCTTAGTGAAATCCAGATACACACTGTATGCTCAGCATTCCACTGATCTACCCAGTCTTGTTAACTTTATTATGAAAGGAAATGAGGCAAGATTGGTGTACAGTCGAGTGTTGACTGGTAGAGTTCTTAGTCTGATAAAGCCCCCCTCTCCTCTCCAAAATTCCCCCCACAAGAAACAAGGGAGAGAAGCATTTACATGTTGTTTATAGAGACTAGTGAAACATTCGTTGAAGGCTGAAACACGAAATTTGAGGAATTCTTATGATGGTTCCCAGGAATATAGAATTGAAGATTATTGAGTAGTATTTGTGATTTTCTTTAAGTTTACTTACTTACTCATTCATTCATTCATTCATTTTTGGTAATACCTACATTCAGTATGGGGCTCAAACTCATGACCCCGAGATCAAGAGATGCATGTTCTTCTGATAGCCAGCCAGGTGCCCACGTATTTGTGATTTTTATCTAGCAGAGGGACATTGTAGATCTTAGTTACTTGGAGTTCTGCCCCTTGAACCAGTAGAAATAAAACTGGTTCTAGATATCAGAGAATGCTCTTTCAGAAGCCGTCTTGTTCCAGAACAGCAGTGCTTTGATTTCTGGAACTTTCTGTTCTGAATAATGATTGGAGTCAACTAGTAGTGGTAATAGAGAGATTTGATACATAATACTTTACATTTTTGAAGACTTAGAGTAAGATAGTTGGAGCATTGGTTTCAAATATCTTGTCTTCATGTTATATTTGCCATAATTTCCCTTGTTTTCTTCCAGGATCGGGATTTAGAGAGACTACGTAGAAAATGGTTAAATGCATTAACAAAACGTCAGGAGTACTTAGATCAACAACTGCAGAAGCTTGTCAGTAAACATGGTAGGAAAAGCAAGTTGAATATTTCCTTCCCCCCCAAATCTGTGCATAATTAATTTCCATTTGCAGCCATAAATTAGAAGTAGCTGAATACATCAATAATGGGGGTGGCAAGAGCATAGGAATGTTACTTATTCGTGTCATATCCTTTCAGAGTAACATTTATTTAACTGTAATGATGTCTTTCTATAGGTCTCCCCCCATCCCCAACAAAGAGAGAAAATACTATGTAAACATTGTCCTTCAAAAATAAATTAAGGAGGGTGATAACATTCTTGGTTTCTTATCCAAAAGTACTTAAATCCTCTAACTCTGGAAGAAATTATTCATGTGCTGGTCCATGTCGGCCTTCCATGAACCAAAGATGGCCTTTCTGTAAGAGTACACCAACCTCTTTAGCTTATAGTTCATTTTTTTTTAATCACATTTAGGGAAGTAATAAGTTTTCTCTGAACCCTCATCAACCAGTACCTGAAATACAGGCAAATCCCATCAATATGCAGGACAAAAGTGTAAATCAAGTGAGAAATCTATATTTGATCCTCATTCCTGATGCCCTAGATAAAACAGAGGATGATGCCGACCGTGAAGCTCAACTTCTAGAGATGAGGCTGACTCTGACCGAGGAGCGGAATGCAGTAATGGTCCCCTCCGCTGGCAGTGGTATTCCAGGGGCCCCAGCTGAATGGTATGAATGCTGCCATATGTCTTCAGACGTTCCAGATGCTCACTGAGCCTCCTGCCTGCTCTGTGAATTTTGCCTCTGTTCCAATTAATGGAATACTCAGCATAGGGGAAAAATGTTTGAATTAGAGGAAGTGTTAAATTATTTTCATGAGTTGGAATAACTATGGCCTAAAACTGTGTTTTATTAAATAATATTGTTATTGGCCCAAGTAATTAAGAATTCTGAGAATCTAAATCAATATTTAATACCACTGCACTTAGCATTAAAAAAAAAGTTAATATGTTAATTACTTGGGTCATTCCCTTAAAAGACCATTCAGTCATAATAAAATTGCATCTCCAGGAGTTTTTGGTTTTGTGCTGGCTTAAATTGTACTGTCAGCAAATGTTCTGTGCCACTTTATAGAAATTAAAAATAGTAAATTAAGCCATATGGGGCCCTTACATATATAATTTTTTAAGAAAGTAACTTTAAACAAGGAAGCTTCAATCATAAACAGGTAGATATATCTTATGAGACTGAATTCAAGTATCAGAACATACAATAATTATACGTGAGAGTACCAATGAAAAGAAGCAGCAGTTACAGGTAAGTCTTTGGGGCATCTCTGATGTGAAATTGTAACAAAAACACAATACCCACAGTTATTATTGGCTTGACCTGTAATACTTCTCAGTGTGGATTAACACTGTGTCTCGAAGTACATGCTGCTGAGAAAGTCTGCTTTATTTGAGATGCTATTTGTTCATTATGTTTTAGGACCCCAGTTCCTGGGATGGAAACACACATTCCAGTTATATTCCTTGACTTAAATGGTAAGTTAGGAGGTGCTTTCTGAAGGCTTACCTCTGACAAATTAGTGTCCGAGTAACACTTAGATTGTAACAAAGTTTGCAGTTAGGCAATTCTGTAAGCCTAAGGTTAGGGTTAATGTATGCTGAGGGACACTTGACAAAGAATGAATTTTCTCTAAGAATAATATTTTTGTCAGTAGTAGGTTTTGTTTCATCCTGGTGCGTTCTCACATTTCATTCTGTAATCCATAACTGCTGTGTGTGTGCTTTGTTCTCCTCATCATGTTTGGATGTAGTAGCAGGTGTTTTCCTGCACTTCAAGTATTGTCTTCTTTAATTCTTAGGAAAATTTGACTTCTCTCTGGAAAGGACTAATAACTAGTGATGCTTATGTAGCATGCTTTCTTTTATCTGGTGTTTTCTTAGCATTATCTAATAAATTTCTCACTTTTTATCTGAGTGCTTATGCTCTTCATTCCTGCATTGCTTATTTATGAGAAACTGTCCATTTTTTTCTGAATTTTTTTCTCCTTCATGTAAAATATTTTGGATGTGGCTACATTTTACATTTACTCTGTCCAAGGAAGGAAAATAAAAATGAAAAGGTAGATTAAACAGCTAAAAATAAGGTAATAAAAGTCAGCAGTTAAATTCCTAAAACATCTGCAGAAAAGCTGTATATTACAATTAAGTATCCTAAATAGGCAAGTTTGGGTGTTCTCAGTGGTTTTCTTCCACCCAGCTGAAAGTGAGTTATACAATCTGAGGTATTTAGCATCTTGTACTACTTAGCTTATTTAGACATATGGAAAGTTATTATATGCACACGGAGTTAAGCAAATAATACTTAGCCACTTCTACTGTCTGTCCATCCAAGAGGGTTTCAGGGTTTTGCCATAGCTCTCTATCCTACCTTGTTGTTCTCTGGCGCCTTGGAGGCTGAGGCTTACTTAGGCCTATCCTTATGTTAGGTTCCTAGACAGGTGAGGTGCTGTGTGTGAGCATGCCTGTACATGTGTGGAGGAGGGTAAGAGTGAAAAAGAATAAGCTTATAGAAGACCTGTTTGTACGGACATCCCGCGACATAATCAAGAACTTGTGCAGCCTGATGCCCATTCTTGATCCACACAAGCCCACATACTAGAGAGATACTTTTGATGCCTACTCACAAGCTTAAGATGGATAGGGGGTTGGGAGGACCAGACTTAGAACTAAATAACTAAAGGGCCAAGGGACAACCCACCAAGTTTCTGGCTCATGTAGCCAATTGATCCTTTTGTTGAACTTAACTGTCAGATAATTGGAATCCCTCTCGCTTCTCATTTCTTCAATGCGCTAAAAGATAGGGAATTTGGGTTATAATCCTATCATTAACATTTATGGGCTGACCTTGAGTAACCTCTTGGGTATCTTGGCTTCATTTGCCTTCCATGTAAAATAAGGCATAAAGGTAGGAGATTGGATAAGATAATTTCTTGAGAGTCTATCCATCTCTAAGAACTGTGAACTGTTTACTGGTCCTCTTCCATGTCATGTAAGATTTTAGGGGCAAAAGCAAATGAAATTTGAGGCAGTAGAATTTTAATACTAAGCACATTGAAATTTAGCTGGTAGGGGTTATCCTTTTAAAATGATCTCTGATTTAATGGAACTTCTTTGCTTTTAGCTGATGATTTCAGCTCCCAAGATAATCTTGATGACCCAGAAGCTGGTGGATGGGATGCTACTCTCACTGGGGAAGAAGAAGATGAGTTCTTTGAACTGCAGATTGTAAAACAGCACGATGGAGAGGTAAACAAAGCCTAACTAGGGAAAATCAGATGAAAAGTAGTTCTTTAACCTCTCCATGTGTCTCCTGAAACAATCAGCAGTGTAATCATTTTAAGGCTTACATTTCTCAAGAAATATAAATGAAAACCTTTCATTATGACTTCCAGAAAGAGCAGAACCCCTTCCGGAAGGAGTGGGCGGTCAGATTACGTCCATTAACCATTTTACTTCCCCTCCTGGTAAAGGATCTCTGTTAGTATTCATAGTTTAGGTCAGCAGTGGTCCCTTTGGGGAAATGCTACTGAAGTACATGCAGGTAAAGCGACACAGTGTTTGGGGTTTGCTTTGAAATTCTTTAGTAAAGGCTTTTTTTTTTTTTTAAGATTTTATTTATTTTTGACAGAGAGAGTATACAAGCAGGGGACGCAGCATGCAGAGGGATAGGGAGAAGCAGGCTCCCTGCTCAGCAGGGAGCCCGATGCGGGGCTCCATCCCAGGACCCCGGGATCGTGACCTGAGCCGAAGGCAGACACTTAACCGTCTGAGCCACCCAGGCGCCCCTTTAGTAAAGGCTTTTTAAGAAGAGAAAGAAAGAAAGAATAGATGAAGGCAGTGTGGCAAAATCTTGATAATTTTCGAATCTAGGTGATTGGTGTACAGTGGGGGCTTACTTTCTAGTTTTTAGTATATTAGAAAAATGAGAAAGTAGTTTAAGCAAGGAAAGCTGATGGGATGCTTTGAAGGGTACATCATCCCTAAGTTGTATTCCTAAGATGCAAAGGTTTAATAGTAGGGGAAAAAGCCCACACACCCAACTATGATATGTTCTGTACAACAGTGGGCCTGTCAGTGTCATGAGTGACAAAGAAGGGCTGGAGAACCATTCCAGGTTAAAGTAGACTAATGGGGCATGACATCAAAATGCAGTTAGTGATCCTGGATCGGAACAGTTGAAAGATTTGAATATGGACTATGTATTATAATAGTATTGCATTGATGTTAAATTTCCTGAATATAATTGTCCTATGGTTAAGTCAGAGGATGTTCGTGCTGTTAGCAGGTACTTGCTAATGTATTTAGGCAGGTGGAATTACAGGTCTGTAACTTACTCTAAAGTGGTTCAGCAAAAAATAATCTCATGTGTGTACGAGTTGTGAGAAAGAGAACGGAAGAGTGGCAAAATATTAACAGCCGGTGATTTTAGATGGAAGATAACACAGGAGTTCCTTGTCCTGAATTCACATCTCTCCTTTATGTTTGAGCATTTTTCAAAAGAAAAACATTTTAGAAGCCCGCCAGCCGGGAATGTTATCCTCTGTACTTCCCAGACTATAGTGATGGAGGCCACATCCTCATATCCCAGAGTCTCTCAGGCCAGTTAGAGTAGATGGTCAATGATGACCAGTACGTTCGACTCCAGCCAAGCCAGGATGTTTCCTTGTGATGTTTTTTGTGTTCAGGAGGAGAAGGCAAAGCGTATTCTTTCTGTCTCTGCAGGTGAGAGCAGAAGCCTCTTGGGACTCTGCCGTGCACAGCTGTCCTCAGCTCAGTAAAGGCACCCCAGCGGATGCGCGCGTGTATCTGATCGTGCGGGTGACAGTGCAGCTCAGCCATCCGGCCGACATGCAGCTGGTGTTACGGAAACGAATTTGTGTCCATGTTCATGGCCGGCAGGTGAGGCATTAGCGAACTAACTGTTGAAGAACTGACTTTAATCACAGGTCCAACTTGAGGGCAGGGCCGGGAATGATTGCTCTGGCCTCCCATCCACACAGCTCTGTGGAGAGTGGAGCTTTCCTCTTCGACTCGACTGCTGCCTTCATGTAACCGTGCCCGCTACATTCCCGGCACCTGCCGTCCTGACTTCCTCATAGACAGTGTTCAGTTTTTACGATGAGTCTTTCTTGTTCCATAGTCACAAATGGGTGCCCCGGAGCCCCGTCAAAGTGAAGTTCTCTGTGTTTGTTTTTGATTTTTCCTTTGGGTCGCACGAGACGTGTCAGTTCTCTGCAGATTAGCTGTTGTTTGGACTCACCCTCCGCTTCGCGCTTCTTTCTCTCCCCGCAGTCACCTCTGCTAATTCGTGGACTCTTATACTCAGAGAGGGTACTCTGTCAAGCTTTTGGGTAGCAAGACGAGTAAGAATTAGTCTGCATCTTGAAGCCACCAGTGTCCGTTGGCCTGTGTGGCTGAATAAATAGGAGACACCTCTGTTGAGATAGTGCTGGAAGGCAGGTGCTCCCTGAGTGCGGGAAGACTGCCGGCAAAGCAATGGAGAACTCAGGGAGGGGTAGCATGCCGGCAGCTCCTTCACGGAGGGGAGTCTGGCAGGCGAGGGGGCGGGGGAGGAGGAAACAGGCTGTGCAGTGCAGAGGTAGTGAGGAAGGACGGCAGGGCAGGCTCAGACCTCAAGTGGCGAAGTGTGACCGGCAGTGTGACAGGGTGGGCCGCAGACGCTGGGGCCCTGGGCTGTCCACGCAGTTGCAGCTGGATTATGAGGCACCTCGTGCCATATGACTGGGTTTAGTAGGAAGCTTCTAAAGAAGAACATAAACTATTTCTGCCATTGGCTTTGCAAATACAGGATTTGGGAGGCTCATTCCAGGGATTCTTTGAACTGTCAGTGCTCACTCTTTTCGAGGCCTTCTCAATACAGTGACTAAAACCAGGACAGATGAAAAGAAATCTTTTCATTTAAAAGAGCACAGTCGCGGTTGACAGTCCTAGATGTAACCTCCACCTAGTTCTAAATGTCACACTGGTACCAGTCTTTGAAATGAAGACTGTTGGTAATGCTGTTAAAATTGCAGCTCTTTAGCTTGACAATCCAGCATCAATAAAATCCAGGTCCTCGGGTCAGCCATAGACGTATATGGTGTGTCTCCCATTCACTCTTTTCTCCGGCTCCCTTTTCTCGGAAGTCGGTAAGGGATTGAAAAAGACAAGTTGCTCTTGAGGAGCATTTTGAAGAGTCATTTGCCATTCCTGAGCTAGAGATTCTGCTTGCCAGGTGCTGAGACTGACCTGGTACAGCCACCAGGCCCACAGAATCCTTAACAGAAAGGGTGCATCATGGAGTCACCAAGCTTCTTTTGGTGTTTTTTTTCCTTTTGGGTTCATTTTTAATTTTTTAATATAACGACAAGAAGTTGCCACCTTTTTTTCCCTGGTTGAAATGATGTGATATAATTAAATTGATACTGAATGACATGATAGTATTTTAGGGCATGCCAGTTTCCCTCCCAATTTCAGATACTTCAATCCTAAAAACTGCTTCTTTATGGCAGAACAGGGACTTCCTTATGATGCTAATATACGCAGATCAGCTTCAATAGTTCCATACAGAAAGAAAAGAAAAGAAAAGGTAAGGTAACAACAGCTCCCACACCTCCCTACCCCACCTGTTCAAAAAACAAAACAAAACAGAAAAACCTTAGCTGTTCCCTGACCAATGTTAATGGGCAGTGGCTCAGCATTGCAAGGCTCAAGTCGAGGAGGGCTCTTTGCATTCTAACAGCTACAGTCTTTTAAAAAAGTAAAGATCACTGAATAGGAAAGAAATTATTATTAAGTAGGTTTGTGAAAATATGTACTTCTAAGACCAAATGGCTTGATTTTTCTATTTTCTGTGGGGGTTTTCACAATATTTCCTGCTTCCCTTTTGCATGAGGGAAAAGGTTGGGTGTCGTTTTAAAATTCTCTCTTCTTATCTTTATTCACCAATTGTATTCTGCCCTCATGCCTGCTCTCTTCAACCTCTACAGGATGTTCAGTTTTAGCAGCATCTTCAAATGAGTCATCTATGCATTAATTCAACAGTTCAATTCTTAACTGTGCAAAGAGCTCAGTCAGCATAAACAATGACCATGCACTCTTAAATCATTCTTCATAACGATCCTTGCTTTGGTCAAGAATTTAATGCCTGAACTTGTCAATATTCATGCTGCAAGATGTCCATTGTACTGGAGGAAAAAAAAGTGTAAGAGACACCAGTCCTCACTCACATCTTAGAAGGTCATTTTATTGTGTTGAAGTCAACAGTCTTATTTCTGTAGCCTTTAAGTAGAGCTGAACCATGATGCCCAGTGTCAGTTTCCAGAGTTTTGGGTTTATATTCTTCATATATTGGGGATAGGACCTGTCACATGGCAGGAACCTAATAAATTGGTTTTGTGTGCTGAGACGAAGTTGAAGAGCCTGTATTTAGTGATTTGGATTTCAGCTTGCTTATATTGGAAATATGCTCTGTTTCTTTTTGGTAAGAATGAATGCAGTATTCTGTGTGCTATCTCTTTGTTAATGAAAACTCAGTTTTTGAGGTAGGAAACCATATCTTTCTGTTTTGTTTTTCTCTAGGGTTTTGCTCAGAGTCTCCTAAAAAAGATGTCACATCGAAGTTCTATTCCTGGCTGTGGAGTGACTTTTGAAATTGTCTCCAATATTCCAGAGGTGAAGGATCGTATGAAGTTTGAGTTTACTAAAAATAAACATGTAAAAAGAGCTAACTCCCTGAAAATCACCTGCCTAAAAAATATATAGTCAGTGAAATTGGGTATTTGGGCAAATGCTAAAGATTTGTAGAGGAAATTTCCTAATCTTAATGTGATTCATTGTAAAAAGTATTTGTGGCTTTAAAGGTTCTGGTTTTAGTATTTTATTAAAGAAGTTCCTTTTGAAAAGCAAATCAGCACTCCTGGAAGACAAACATTGCCTTTTACTCCTGGTAGCCATAAGGTAACAATATTGTAACCCTCAAAGGGAGACAACATAGCACAAAATAGAGATTCAGGCTTTCATTTTAGAATCACACAGAAATCTTATTTTTGTCACTTCTTAGTGAGGTGAACTTGGTAAGTTACTTAGAGCCTAATTTTTTTCATTTATTAAATTGGGTTAGTGATAGCTTGTGTACAGGGTTGTTTTTAAGGATTAAATGAGATGCTGTATCCAAGTTGTTGTGCACACACTAAAAAGTCAATTGTAATTGCCATTATTATAGTTCCTGTTATTATTTTCTTCTCCTTATTTTTCTTTCTGAACTGAGAAAGTCATTGGAATCAAACACATGGAGTTTAAAATACCCCTGATGGGTATTTTAAAGCATGAAGCTTGCTGCATGATATAGTTTATATATATGCTTCCTAATATTTAATCCCAGATTTATTCACCTGGTCTGTGGCACAGCTGGTAATGGAGGCCTTCCTTATAGGGGTAGGGGAAGGGAGGGGTCTAAGAAAAGGACCATGGAAAAGAGAGAGAAGAGCATTTCCTTATGTCATACTCACTCTCTGAAATTGAGGAGTGGGTGAGGAGATGCAGATTGTACTTTGTGCGAGTGGAGAAGTGGGGACATGTGCTGGGAGCGAACGCTCCCTCCTAACCACTCCGTCCACATCTACATCATTCTCTTCGTTTTTGAGGGCTGGATGTTGTTGATTATGTTGAGTGTTTGAGCAGTAGGTGGACAAAATATATTTTAATATAGAGATCAGTTTTTAGAAGGCTGAAAAGATTACACAGTACTTGGGCTTTGTTTTAGATTTCTTGTACTGGATCTTCAAAGTGTTAGACTTCCACAGTGTATATTAGCTGTTTAACTATTTAATTTGGAGCCCGCTGAACATTTAAAAACTAAGTCTGTTGCAGACTAGCAGCAAAATCTTGGGTCTGTAGTAGATTACTCTTTTGTCTACTTAGATGCTCAGCTAGAGACTTACTATTTATTCTCTGTGTCTGAATGTTTTATGTGTTCTGAATGGTTTCTGGCTGTTTCATATCTTAACTCTATAAATGGTTTGAATGCAGTTGAGAAACAGTGACCGCTGTAGTGAACTCTGTTCCATTTTTCCATTTCTCTCAACTTCCTTCCCTTCCTGTCTCATCCCTTCCTGATTTTACATTCTTTATCCTCTTTAAAAGTGCTTTTATTCTCTGGGTGATATGATTTTCAAATGGAGGAAATGTTGGGGGGGATCAGCTGAGAGATAAGCGTATAGCCTCATGTGATTTGGCTACCTGTTAATAATGAGCCACACATCTAAGTTGGCAAGTTGTTTTTTTTTTTCCACATTATCAAATCTTGATGATAAAGAAAAAGGCACAGCGAGACTTAAAACTTATAATGAAAGGACTGCACTTAGTTTATTTTTTATTTAAAAACAGAATAAAAAGATTCCTTGAGGAGCCAGGTTTATCATGAAGAATCCTTAAAAAGTTCTTTGTGTTTCTTGTTACAATAGCTCTGAGAGCTTGGTGGCAGAAAGAACTGATGATAGGCCAGAGAGCAGGAGATAGTTTCCCCTTTCTACCCCAAGACCCAGTCATTCCACCTCTAGGTGCTTACCCAAGAGAAGTGACTGTGTGTGTCCGTAGAGATATGTATAAGAACACTCATAGCAGCTTAATCCAGAGTAACCTAAAACTGCAAACAACCCAAACATCCATCAGTGGGTGGATAGATAAGGAAATTGTGGTATATCCATAGTTTGGAATATCACTTAGCTATACAAAGAAATGAAGTTCTTGAATGAATCTCAGAATCATTAGGAACTTAGGTCTCCTGACTCCTGATAAGAGTATTCTAAGTTCTAATCTTGCCTTTTTTGCCAAGTATGTGGCCTTCCTCTTTCCCCATCTATAAAATGAGGATGATTGCTTCTTTTCAGGGTTATTAAATGGCTCAAATGAGTCACTGTAGGAGGTAGAAGTTTTGTGAACGTAAGCCACCTTCTAGATCCTTCCGTATTTTATCTGTTCTAAAGCTCATTTAAATTTTTAAAAATACTTTTGATGTTAGAATGTATCTTATAATTAATATCTTAAAATTAATTGGCAGAGTTTTTTCTTTTCTCTTTAGTGGTATATAAAATGTTTTTTTTTCTTAAAGTTGATGGCATCTTAAGATGCAGTGGCATATGGCTATATATTTTGTAGTTTTTGACATTAGAACAAATTCACAAGTAAATAAAGTATCAGATTTTCTCTGAGAGGAGTAATTTGTTATGAGCCAAGCTAGCTTGACATGATTAAATGCACTAACAACGGCCCTCCCTGACTCACGAGCATCCCATTTATATGCATGGGCCACCCACGTCAGAGGGCCAGGGGTGGGCTCTGTGGAAAAGCACAGTGAGCAAGAATTTACCTAGATATTTTTCTTCTTGGTGGGTGCTACACTGCCTTTGGCCTCTGTCACTCCAGAGTTGAGGATTGAGACCAGTTTTAGAAGCTGCCACACATTGAATGTGTAGTCTGTGTTCGGCTGCTGAGTGACAGTGTTGAAAGCCCTACTTTTCACTCTTTACTCTCCTGTGTCTGCCTCATACTAGTATTGTTTGGACCCCAGCTTCTCATTCCTGTCTCTTGCTTCAATGATGTATTTCTGAAGTATTGTAGTGGTGGTTATATTTCCAGCCGTTTCCACCAGATCCTTTCTAATCAGTAACGTTTTCGTTTGCAGTAGGAATGTAGCAGAGGACCGTTTTATTGAGAATGTGCTGTGTTTCAGGGGCACTGTGTTCAACCTTGCAAGTTAATCTAACCACGATTTATACCATGATTTCTGTGGGAAAATGCATTTTGAGTTCCAAAAGCTGGCGTTAAAATGGAATTTTGGAATACATCCCATTTTCTAGTTCAGTACTCTGTGTGTGTGTGTATTTGTATAGATCAAGAAGCTTTTATGTTTTCTTCTGCAGAGTACTTAATTTTAATTTTAATTTAATATTAATTTTAATACACAACTTTCTGTTCTCCAGGATGCCCAGGGAGTAGAGGAACGAGAAACATTAGCAAGAATGGCAGCTAATGTTGAAAACACGGCTTCTGCTGACTCAGAGGCTTATATTGAAAAATACCTCAGAAGTGTGCTGGCTGTGGAGAACCTTCTTACTTTAGATCGTCTCCGCCAGGTTAGCCAACAGAACTGGTAGCAGCGGTGCTGACCCAGCCTGAATCTCTTGGCTTCTCTGCAATTCACAGTGTTGTTACATCTAAACTTTTGAAGCATCTGTTTAAGTGGAGCATATTAATTTAGATTAAACTTGTCAGTTAAGTCTGTGAACATACAAAAGCTGCACTAGGGAAGTTAGTTTTACCAAGACGGTAAATGTTATCTAGTTGCCTTGAGGTAATGGGAGAAGATATTTCACTCTTGCTGGCTGAAGAATTATTTTAAAAATTCTTTGATAATGGACAATAATGTTGCTGGAGAAATATGTAGGAATGTGGCAGAATGGGCCCTTTCTCGCTTAGCTGGACATGCCTGCCACAGCCTTAGAGTAGATCTCTAGACGGGGTAATAGAGATGCCAGCAGTAAACCTAATCCTTAGTGGAACCCTAAACCTCATTTTACGTAGCAATATTGAGACTTTTTTTGGTTTTAACCAAAGATCCTTATGAAAAATAAAAGTGAATGATCTAATTTTGACGATCTTTCCCATGGGACTAACTTCTGGCCAGCTTTAAGGCGGCCGTCAGTAGATAAAGAAGAGAATGATCTAGGTAACCTCTCCACTATACAGTTAACTTTGACTGTTCCACAGCGATTGGAATTAGGTCATTCCACGCTGTGAAGGAACAGCCATGATTTCAAGAACCAGGAATGTGTATGTAGAGACGGTAGCTCAAAGACTGCTGTACGTGGTATTGCTTTGGCGGTGAGTCTCTGATCTGTATTTTTCCTCTGTACGTTTTCTGACTGACAGGAAGTTACTGTGAAGGAACAGTTGACAGGAAAGGGGAAGCTGAGTAGGAGGAGCGTTAGCTCTCCCAACGTGAACAGAGTGAGTACATGGACTCCGTGTTCTGGGCTCTGCCTGAGCTCTCCTTCCCTGCTCCTCTTTCCTTGGATAACTCTTTTGCATCCTTCAACTCTCCCCTCAGATACCATTCCCTTCTCCGAACTGATTTAGGTGCCCCTGTTCTCTACCTGTAGCATCTGTGCACACCTCTGTCCCTGTCCTCACCAGTATGATAGGGAAAGTGTCCATTTAAGTTAGTCTCTAATGTTTCTCGCTCATTTTTGTATGAGCAGTGCCTCGCTCAGTGACTGGGTGTTCAGTGACTGAGTGTTGAACTAAAGCAAAACTAGCTGCATGCCTTGAACAAGCCATTTGAATTTTCTGGGCCTAACTTAATTACTTTTAAATTGAGAAGTCTGGACTCGGTTTACAAACTGAATTGCTTAAAGGCCACCCAGGATAGTATAAATGAGTAAAATAAGTTAGGTGTGTTTCATAACAGTGTCTTAAGTTTGTTGTTTTTAAAAACATAGGTATAATTTATGTACATATTAAGCACACAAATAATTCTTCACAAATGATTGTGGCCCTATGACTTATCTCTCCTTACTTTTGACAAAGATGTGGATATGAGAAATATTACCTTTGTCTAACTTTACACCAAGAAAAACCACAGTACAAGCATTGTAATGAAGAGCAGCTGACCCTTAGCCTTAGTGTTTGAGAGACGAAAATGAGAGGTAGGGAGAGTATCAAATGGGAGGGCACACATGGCCCCTGAGTGACTGAATGACATCACTAATGATTTCAGACTGAAAGATTGGGAACATTCTCAAACATTAAGAAATACTACTTTCTTTCTTTCTTTTTTTTTTTTTAAGATTTTATTTATTTATTTGTCAGAGAGAGAGAGAGAGAGCACAAGCAGGGGGAGTGGCAGAGGGAGAAGCAGGCTCTCCGCTGAACAGGGAGCCTGATGTGGGGCTCAGTCCCAGGACCCTGGGATCATGACCTGAGCCGAAGGCAGACGCTTAACCAACTGAGCCACCCAGGAGTCCCAAGAAATATCACTTTATTTCAACTTAAAATCTCATTTCTTCAGAAAACATTAAAATGTAGAGATACTTACAGAGATTTGCTATTTAGAATCCTATGGTTTAGGGACACCTAGATGGCTCAGATGGTTAAGTATCTGCTTTTGGCTCAGGTCATGATCCCACGGTCCTGGGATTGAGTCCTACATAGGGCTCCTTGCTCAGCAGGGAGCCTGCTTCCCCCTCTGCCTGCCGCTCCCCCTCCTTGTATGTGTACACGCGCCCTCTCTCTCTCTTTCTGACAAATAAATAAAATCTTAAAAAAAAAAAATCCTATGGTTTAAGATAAATAGCTTGTGTCTATACATCTGCTACGAATACCCAGAGAAGGAAGTTGTAAGATCAGGACATGGTAAAATAATTAGTAACCTGGTATCCTTTAAATGGAAGGGGATAAACAGATGAAGTATCCCTTACCCAACCCAGTTGTTGCCTCAGTATAAACTGGGTATCTGATCTTATATAAACCTCCCACCTCAAAGTTCAATTTAGTTACAAAAAAAAATGTGAGGGGCACCTGGGTGGCTCAGTTGTTTAAGTGGCGGACTCTTGACTTCAGCTCAGGTCATGATTTGAGGGTCCTGGGATCGAGCCCTGTGTGGTGTTCTGGACTCAGTGCAGAGTCGGCTTGAGGATTCTCTCCCTCTGCCCCTCCCCACCCCCGACTCACACATGCACATGCGCGCTCCCTCTCTTTCAAAATAAAGAAATCTTTAAAAAAATTGTGCCTAATAATGTCTCAAAGTACACACTAGTCTAATTTACAAATGTCTTGACAACATCTCTGCTACCATCTGACTAACATTATGTTGATTTGGTTTTCAAATTCTTGTATTTCCAGGACCGTAGATTTCTGTACATTCACACCTAAAGGACTAATCCCTTTTTATTTCTTCTTCAGTTGTCTGGCAGCCGACAAGATCTTATTCCAACCTACAGTCTAGGCAGCAATAAGGTAAGTGTTTATAAATATTTTTCTGTCAGTCTTAGACCAATTTCCCATTCAACTTTCCTCTTCTCAAATATCACATGTTCGTTTTGTCTGCTAGAATTTCTCCTACTCTTCTAGGCTATGTGAAATTTACTGGAAAGTGTTTACAGTTCATTTCTTTTTATCTGCCAGTTAAATTAAGGTTTATTAGACCTTGTTACTCTACTTTTTAAGTGTTAAAAACCAATTTTATTGCTTGAGTTCATGTTTCTGTATAAAATATTCTTCCCGTTTGCGTCAAAAAAGGAACTTTAAATCAGATTTTTAATAGTAAAATATTGATATAGTGATTGCAAAGGTGTGAGGAATAGGAAGATTTTATCTGGAAGTTAGTATTATTTGCTAGAAGAAATTAAAATAAGGGAACAGAACTTCTGTTAGCTGGAATTGATTGTTAATGTAGTGTTCCCCAATTTAGCAGTCGTTTAAGCATAAATTCTTTATCCTTTACTTAAAAGGATCATACTTAAAATTGTTGTAACTGGATGTCCTATATCACAGTTTTGTGCCTGACGTTTTTTGGAGAGACCTGGTTAGGTGTTGGTACTGTTAACTGTGGGCAACATGCTCTGTATTGGTATCTTAACCCTTGAGGAGGGTAAAAGTGAACAGTGTCTTATAAAATGGCCTGATATCAGGGATTTGTTTCAAAATAATTCTCGGGGGACGATGGGAGTATAGATAAAAGCAGATTGGCTATTTAACGGTAATGATTATAGCCACATGGGATTTGTTATACTACCCTTTCTACTATTGTTAATCACTCTCTACTCTGTTTTTGTATGTTTGAAATTTTCCTTATAAAAATTTAAGAAAAAGAACAATTAGTTGATGAATAATTAGATTTATTCTTAAGATCTAGGTTACTAGGAGTTTAGCTCAAATACATAAAAATGTATGTGTATATATATATATGTATATATTTATATATATCCCATTATTTCAGGCAAACTCCTAGTAACCTAGATCTTAAAAATGAGCCATATGTATATATATCAGTGTTTATAGACATATAAATTGCTCTCCAACTCATTAATTTACTGATCACCCCACCATGTCTCTGAAAGTGTGCTAAGTACTACTCCTTTATACTGATCCAATGATAGGTTTGATCCGTTCTTGAAGAGCACAGCACAGGTTTCGATTACCAGAACAAACCTGAGTTTTTGGGAAATTGATTGTGTCATTATTTTTCAGTGTAAATAAATGAAATATTATAAGGAAAATATATTTATAAGAAAAAAACACGACTTTTTGTGGGTTTTTTTGGAACTACATCTAATCCACATTCTCAATTATATTATAAATTCCTTGAAAGAAGTGGCCAAAATTTTCTATCTGCCCCCAATCTCCTTATGTTTAAATAGAGAAAATAATAGTATCACTTGGAAGAAAATTACTGTGCTTCATTTACACCAAATAAATGGAATAAAGGAACGTAGATGCTATACTAGAAATATGTTGGAGTAGGAGACCAAAGGAGGGAGTGGATGCTTTTAAAGGCATCATTCACAGACCAGGAGAGGCTGCAGAGAGGTGATAATACCCCTGAGCTGAAAGACTGATGAGTTCCCTCCGAGGTGGGGAAGGAGTAAAAGCGGCAATGTGAACAGAAGCATGGAGGGATGAACAAGCTTGCTATGTTCATGATACTGCATGCAGTGTGACTAAAGGAGAGGGGTAGATGGGGTAGAACCCAGAGAAAAGGGACCTGATTGTCGAAGTTCTAACATTATGTACTAAGGAGTAATGGAGGAGGCAGGTAGCCCCTGAAGGACATGTTAAAGTTGAATTGGAAAGTGTTTTTTAACAGTCCACCTAAACTCGACTTGGGTTCCTGGCTGTGGCCCATAAAATCACATTAGAATAATGTATACAGTACAAATAATATACAGTTATCAAAGCAAAATGTGAAAAAAAATGTAATTCGAGGATGGAGAGATCAGGTGGGGAGGAGATTCAGCAGTGGGAGGGAGAGGGAGAGCAAATCAGGTGTATTAAGGAGATAGACTCTCTGGAACTCCGTGGACAGGAAGGTTGGGTGAAGAAGGAGATGAGGGTGACATTTACCTTTGGATGACAGAATAGAGAGATGAACTGTAGGAGGGGCAGGTTTGGGGAAGAAAACGATTTAGTTCCGTTTTTGACATGAGGTATCTGTGCCAGTTGAAGGGTCTGGAAGCCTGGGATGAAGACAGATTGGGGAGCTGAGGGCATATTTGAAACGGAGTGAGGGATTAGATCTAAAGTCGGAGCCAGTCGGCATGATAATACTCACGGGCATGTGCCGGAGGAGAAGCTGGCCAGAAGACCCAGCAGAGAGTGGCTTGGAAACTGGGCCAGAAAGGACTTTTTAAGCTGTTTGGTTTTTTCCCCAAAGATTTTATTTATTATTTTAGAGAGAGAGCATGTGCGCACATGGGCAGGGGGAAGGGCAGAGGCAGAGAGAGAAGCTCAAGCAGACTCCTCACTAAGTGTGGAGCCTGACACGGGGCTCAGTCTCAACAACCCTGAGATCACGACCTGAGCCAAAATCAAGAGTCGGACGCTCAACCAGCTGAGCCACCCAGGTGCCTGGCTTTTTAAGTTTTAAGAAGGACTCTTTACAGTTTCCTCAGAGACTGTAAGATGAGGACTAAAAGACTGTTTCAGATGTGATAGTAAAGAGCGGGCGTGATGGCTTCAAGGTTACTTCGCGGAGTTGGAGCTCTGGCTGCGCAGGCCCTTAGGGCCCGCGCTCCCAATGGAGTCGCCGCGGTGTGCACCATGGCATCTGGAGGTGGTGTTCCTACTGATGATGACCAGGCGACTGGGCTGGAGAGGGAGGTCATGATGGCTGCACGGAAAGAACTGGACCCATACAATATGCTAGCCCCAAAGGCAGCTGCAGGCACCAAGGAAGACCCTAATTTAGTCCCATCTGTCACCAACAAGCGAATAGTGGGCTGCATCTGTGAAGAGGACAGTAGTACCGTCATCTGGTTCTGGCTGCACAAAGGCGAGGCCCAGCGATGCCCTAGCTGTGGAACCCATTACAAGCTGGTGCCTCACCAGCTGGCCCACTGAGCCTTTGCACTAACTTACTCAAAATGTGCTGTGAAGCTTCTTTGTTGGCTCCTTCTCCCATAAAAAAAAAAAAAGTTTCTTGGAGACCTTTCACAGGGCAATTTCTGTGGAGGGTTGGGGACAACTTAGCAGGACATGTCATATTAAATGAGTAAATGTAACATTACATATTTTTGTTACCTACCAAGACCTTCCCTTTTTTAGTCATCTTGATTTCTTGGAGTACCCTAGTGAAGAAGAGGAAAGTCTGATTTTCGCCCTCTCAGGTTTTACTGATATCATGGTGCCATCACAGCAACAAGGATATGGATCCCTCACTCTATTTCAGGGTATATTTTGAGTTGTCCCACACTGCAAATAAGTTAAATACCCTTTTTCCCCCCCATTGCAGCAGTTCACAGTCTTCCTCAAAATTTGGCCTTGCTTGCCCCTCCCCGACCATATTAGTCCCCAACCCTCTGGAAGTATTGTCAGGGAAAACAGAAGGTGCCAGCCTGCCATTACTAACTTTGCTCCCAATCCAGCTGTGAAGCTATTATTTTTATCTCCTTTTGAACTCCTGGCATCCATGGGCCCTGAAATGTTACAAGGTGTAGCTGGGCTTTAGCAACATCTCATCACTGTGGCAATCCCTTGACTTCTCGCTAGGGTAAATGAATGTCCACATATCATAATTAGAGACTTTTGGCTATTCAGTAGGAGAAAGGTAGAGGAAACCTGTTCTAAGATTTTTATGGGATGGGCCTGTTTAATGAGTAAGGAAATTCCAGCGATAGAGGATTGTAACTGTGATGCTAGAAAACAAAGTGAAAAGAACACGAAGGAAAGAGGATTTGATTCCAGACTTACTTCAGAAGGGAGTACAGAGTAGCTCCCCCATTTTCAGAGGAGGGCTTCCCTCAATAGTTCTATCATCTAAAGCAGAGCATCTTAAAAGATTTTTAGGAAAAATACATAGTCTTAAAATTGTATTTTCTTACTAGGGAGAAAAAAACTATTCCCCTGCTCCCTGTGGCCTTTAAATGAAACAAAGAAAAACACTTTCAAATATAGCATTGCCTTGTATTTCAAAATGTGTTTTTAATACTACCCATAAAAGAATTCCTCAAGACTGGGTAGTGCTTAAACTAATTGACCTACAAATTATCAAATTCCTATTAAACCCCTTGAGACAGCAGCAGTGCTTATATACATGTGAAATGACATATGTACAAGAGTGTCCATTGAAACATTGTTTATAATGGTGGAAGATTCGGAAACAAACTAAATGTCCATTGGTTTGGTCTGGTTCAATACACTTAATCTGGGCACATGCCACACCCTCCCCCCGACATACACACAAATAAATAAATGGGTACTATGCAGCTGTAAAAATGATTAGGAACCCTTCTAGATACCAATATGGAAAAATTACCAGGATATACTTGATGATTAAAAAAAATGAAGTGCAGAGGTGCACCCAGGTGGCTCGGTCGGTTGAGCATCCGACACTTGGTTTCAGCTCAGGGGGTGATTGCAGGGGTCACGGGACTGAGCCCCGAGTTGGGCTCCCCTCTCAGCAGGGAGTCTGCTTGAAGAGTCTCCCCGCTGCGCCTCCCCCAGCCCCTCTAAAAAATAAATAAATCTTAAAAAAAAAAAAGTTCAGAGGGGCGCCGGTTCAGTCAGGTAAGTGTCTGACTTGTTCTCAGCTCAGGTCTTGATCTCAGCATCCTGAGTTCAAGCCCTGTGTTGGGCTCCACATTGGGCATGGAGCCTACTTAAAATACATAAATACATACATAAATAATGAAGTGCAGAATAGTATGCTGCCATTTATGTTACAAAAGGAGGTGGACAGGAGAGGTGTATGTGTGACTGTTCATACATTTGCTTACATATACGTAAGAAACCCTAGGAGG